TATCCCTTGTTGTCGTCTGCATAGCTATTACCGCAGGCAGCACAGCGGGTTGCATTGATCCAGATAATTGAATACCAGAAAGGTTATTACCACCATGTCCTCTCGTGCTGGTCCTACCGGTACTGGTACCAGTACTGGCATCCTGGAAGGTCTCTCCGAAGATCTTCTGTTGAAGATCTTTGGGCACGTGAATGTTCTGGATCTTCGTGTGGCTGCCTGTGTATGTCAGCACTGGAACTCTGTCATCAAGCCGTTGGATTTGGGGTTGCTGATGGTAACTGTCTCGGGTTCCAACGAATTGGCCTTGCTATCTTCCTCCTCCTCCTCCAGCAATACTACTCGTAATACCGGTAGCAGTAGCAGTGCTGTCATCCAACGGTTTGCGGCATCTCCCAACCACCGAAAGAGGAAACGTTTCTACCATACCCGTCAAGCGGCCGGCCCTACTGCCTACCAATGGCCCACCTGCTTGGCCGTGGGACCACAAAAACAACTCTACCTCAGTCAATACAAAGTCCAGGGAGTCTTGGAGTTTCGTCCTTGCCGCGAAGGATACCAATATAGAAGAACCTTGGCGAGTGGACGAAACTTGGCATCCCCAGAAGGCTTGGTAGTCGCATACAACAGTCTCTATGTGGTGTCAGTTCAGAATGCCACCATTTCACGACTCTCACTCAAAACAGGAGCTCTCCTAGAACGGGCCGGACCCGCGCAGGGAATGAACGATTTTTGGACACTCTGGGGCATGACCATCAGTCCTTGTCAGAGATACTTGCTCATTGCAGGACATGTCAGTGATGAGGGAGATTATCGACAACCAACCGACACTCCTACAGGAGCTATTCTACGTCTCGATATTGATCCCACAAATGGATCCTTTCAAAGGAACCCGCAACGTCATGGTACTATTATGGGCTATTATGCCATCCCAGCACCCCCGTCTCTTGCACTGAATCGACCCTCGGATCCGCAGTACTGCCGACATGGGATTCTCCATGTATCCACATTTGCTCCCAATGCTAGTGGGGGAAGGAGGATTCAAAAATTCTCCTTGCTGAAACAACAAATAAACAATCACGAGGAGGAACTAATTCGCCACTGGGGATGGCTACAAGAAGCCGACCACTTCCATCCCTGGGGGATTGCATTTTCCAACAAGACGGATCAAGTCTTCCTTACGTCTACCAATCATGCCTCCACAAGTAATGTCAATGGTGGCCAAGTCTTGCGATTGCCAACATGCGGTTGTCACCATCTAGATCTTGCCAGCAATGATACACCACCACGTGCAATATCCTGTGGTAACTTGACGGCACTGGTGGATGGTCAGCATGCTGTATTGAATCAACCCAATTATGTTCTTTCCATTGATTGATTAGCTGGGAAGTACCGTACCGTATGGTAGACACCAGCCAATGGCCCGAGGAAGCTATTGTAACTCGATCGGTAGAAGTTTGGACAGGCGGGCCGACAGTTCATGGATGAACTCGCATCAATCTACGAGCTACGACTGTACGTGCTATAGGGGAGCGGAAAATGTGTTTTCAATACGATTAAAAAAAAAAACAGCTCCCGACGATTCCAATCATCGAAAGAACAGCGTTGCCGGATTAGTGGCCGTTACACTGTAGGACCACAATAAGAGACTCTAGCTAGAAGGGCTTGGGATCCAGTTACTAGTAGGTCGTTCTCAGACCGGACTCATCTTGTAAGCTAGAGCGTGGGGGGGGGGGGGGCTGACTGCTGGACTGCTGGTAGTGCGCTGGCTAGGGAGTGTTCGGACTAGATACTAATAAGTGGCTAAGCGTGTTCATCATTTGATTCCTGACCAGGATTGTCATGGCCATCATCACCCCCGACCTGTTCTTGGGATTGTTGACTCTCTACATCATCTTCCAGCGGCAGACTTGGCTTGTCTTCCTCCGGCTCCTGTTCTTTCCTCGGTTTGCCACATCGTCGACCAATAATGGCAAGTGTGTATGCTGAATACAACTGTACAATGTAGAGAACAAGGAGCAATGGAGGGAAACAGACTTTCCAGAACATACCCCAACTTCCATGAAATACCCCTTGCATAATCCCCAGGGCAAAGTAGACGACCAAGGCCACTGTGACCAGTGCTTTGAAGAACGCCGCTTGCACTGCAGCCAAGAGAAAGAATGCCTTGTGTAGGTGTGACATCAGACCCATGCGATAGCAGTAGAGTGCCACAAATGTAAACTGTTCCGTGGTGGCATGAAATGTCAATAAGAGTCCATAACGAAAATAGGAGAGATTGGCCGTATCAAAAAAGGAGCTGTAACCCACTTGGATCAGAATAATGGTCACAATGTGATGCAGAAGTAGAGGAATCCCAATCTCAATTCTGTACAGGAGCTCCCAAATATACAGAATGCACACAATGATCCAAGCCATGAGACAGGCATGGATACGATCCGGAGTTGTGGTATCTTTGCCCCAAAACAGCAAATCCACACTTCCGTAGAGTTGAAATCCCAGGGCAACGGTGGTGGCCAGTCCTTGTAGAATGTAGATCACGACATTTCGCCGTTTGGATTCATCCAAATCCTGGCGGAACTTGGGCGACAAGCGTAGATGCAAGCTGTAGCTCAGCAATCCTGCCAACCAAAAGAGCAAGAAAAAGTTGAAAGACATCCATGGGTATTGGTAGGGGTCATAGATGTTGTACTGCATCACCACACCATCAGAAGCTGCATCTTCATTCATCATTGTTTGATTGTCGGCTCTGAGAGGTTGAGACTGGAGGCTTGAGGAGGAAAAGTATGAGAGTCGGTTTGTGTCACCAGCACTCGGCAAGTTTTGTGGTTTGTGGTTACCAGGTACCCGGTGGTACCGGTATGCAGGAATGATCAATCGAAACAGGGGGCGATGCAGCATCTCTTTCAAATTTTCAAACTTCCAAAAGGCTTTATTTGACTTGCATTATGGTACCGGTAGCTCCTGTACCGGTAAGGTAAACTGCTACTTTAAGCACCAGTCCCAGGTCCCAGACAACATAACTTATTAGCGACTTGTTGGCTTATTACTGGCCACTCAGTACATGGTAGCTGTACTGCTATCGTCTCGACTACTCCAGTACTGAAGTAAGTGAGAACGGTTGTGTTGTACATGTATATCGGAAGCGCTGAAAACGGAAAGTGACGCAAGAAGACTTAGACGTGGAAGTGTCGCTGACGCTTGAACTCTGCACCTTAGCCACTCAGCTACAAGGCTACGAGTACCGTACCGGTAGTCTAGAGAGTAGAGCCCTCAGCACTCAGCAGCCATCCAAGTTATCGAGGCTTGACTAATGGTCCTCGACAACCGTCGCGGAGTTTTTGAGACACTCTACTCTTGTGAGGTTGGGTGATGAACCAGAACTCCAAGCTACTATTATAGTCTGCCTTTGCCCTCTGACTGGTCTGCACTACATGATCCCCGATTGGCGTTCCTTTCCTTTTTGGAGTACCATACTAGTTCTCAAGCAAGCCACGCACCGTACTAGCTATTGGCTGATTCGACCATTCCAACATTCATAGATTGTTGGTGCTCCAATATGGCTGGCTGAGATCATCTATATTTCGTCGCAACCAATTCTCCGGTATCCTGTCCTCTGCGATTGGTGGTCTGAGTTATTTGGAGAAGTTCTCCAATGCCAGATAGTTACAACCCAAGCTGGCTGGCTGCAGGTGGCTGACCCCAAATTTGTGTGGGAGAGGACTCGTCCAAGCAACGGGTCTCAGATTGCGTTCAAGCATCCATGACTTCTCTCTTGTTAGTAGTGCATCGATTTCAGCAATTACCCCTGAAACCCTTTCCTTCATTATAATAATATGTTTTTACATTCACTCTGAGTGCGTTGCTGCGGATGTGATTGTCTCCTTGAACACAAGTCGTTTTAGCTCTAGCCCTAAGGGTCGAATCTTCTAGATTCGCGCCGTTTCCAAATCTCCTCCTATTCTGGACCTCATTTTTCTTGAAACTGCTCACAATGGAGGCAACTTGTTGCTCTTTTAAGGAGGTACCACCCGCTTTTACTCCCGAGTTTGTTTTGGTCAGTCCACAGTGGATACGTAAAATAGACATCCATGTTGAAGTGTACTCCATGGCCACGTACTTTCCCTCATGCGATTGTAGCTAGTTTGCCGCCAGATGGAATCCTTCTTTTGTGGAATTCTTTATTTTAGCTGGCGACCATGGCCAATTTGTTCTCCATAAAGTAAACAACGGCAAGATATGGATGATGCATCAGGAGAGGAAGGAACTGAAACCTCTACAGACAACCCACAGATTGTAACTCCGGCAGTGGTAGGAGGAGATGATTCAACTCCAGTATTGAGAGAAAGTCGCCGTCAGAGAGGAGTTAAACCAATTTTGCCTTGTTTTTCCATCAGTGAGAACAAGGCAACAAGCAACTATCAGAGAGAAATCAACAAGTTAGCAGCAGGCAACAGGAAGGACATTACATCGAAGTTGCCTCGCTGGGACCATTCCAAGTTGAACATGGGAGCACCGAAGAGGAGGGAACAGCCTCAACCAACTCCCTCTCCAATAATCGACAATGTAGCCACTGCCCTTTCTCCACTTGCTGTTCCGGAGGATGACAACAGAAAGAGGCCACCAACACCTCGAAGACTCATCCTGGAACACAAAGGATTATCTGATTTAGTGAATGGCAACACCCGATGCTATACATGCCGACAAGCTAGTGTCGAACTTACATTCAATACCACCTGTGTCACATCCATGGGCCAGTTGAGCTGTGGTAACAAAGAATGCAAGTCTTATGGCCAGTTGAAGTGTTCCGAAGTGTCACGAACCACTCTTCCGAAGAAGTCCGCACATGTCACCAACCTTGACTACTCATTGAACGTGCAGTTTGTGTTAGCCTTTGTGTGGTCGGGTGATGGAGGAGTGGAAGCACAGCGAACACTTGCAATGTTGAACTTACCAATTACAACCATGTCAAGAAGTCATTCTCTAGCATTGAACTTGCCCTTGCACCTCATATCAATGCTGTTTGCCACAAGGCCATCGTGGACAATCTGGTGGAAGAAGTGAGAAGGAGTCATCACGCTGAGTTATTCACTTTGTGGAATGGAAGTTTCAGTTAGGAAGGGAGAACGTCCAACTCACAGAGCAACAGTCAATGGTGGTATGGACATGGGTTGGAACCAAAAGGGTAGTGGCCGGCATACAATTCCCCTTCTGGTCATGCGAGTGTCATGGGCGCACTTACTGGAAAGCCTCTTGTTATCTGTCAGAGATCAAAGTTTTGTCGAAGTGTCAATACCATCTCAGCCGTGACTCGCAGTTCCAGAACACGATTGCATGAGCAACTTTGAGGGTAGCTCAGGTGGGATGGAGCCTGCTTCTCTGCTGATCATGGTGGAGGAATTGTATGACTTGTACAACGTGGAGTTGGATAGGATCTGCACAGACGACGATTCCACGATGAAGGCTCATTGTAAATGAGCAACAAAGATTGGTTGAAACACAATAAACTCGACAAACTCCCAGTACTGGGAGTGACGAAGAATGGAAAACCGAAGACCAGGTCAGAAGGGTATCTTCGTTATCCAATTCGCCAACCACTGTTCGTTGCAGATCCTGCTCATCGGAAAAAGACATACCGAAACCATCTGTACGCGATGAAGGCAAAGGGTGTTAAGGCAAGTTTCGATTTGACATCTGGTGATATCCTCCGGTTGACCACTTACTACGTGTACTTCTGAAGAAGCTGCCGGATTTACGAGAGAAGAATGGTCTACTGCAATCAAGGCTGTACTGGAACATACTTTCGACAACCATGAATTCTGCGGTGACTTCTGTTTGCGGAAGGACATGACACAGGTAGAGAAGGATGAGTGTGGAAAAGTGTACAGGAAGACAAAGCCCTGTACGAATCACTGGTCGACCTTTCAATCAATTCACCACCATGGAGAGGCTTGATGAATCCAACCACAGAATGACAACCAATGCGAATGAGTCACTCAACAACACTATTGCCTGGTTGGCTCCGAAGAACAAAGTGTATGCCGGTTCTTTGTCGCTCCAGAACCGAGTTTGCATTGCCGTCGGAATCAAATTGCTTGGAGTGGAAGAGTTCTTTCGTCGACTGTTTGACACCATCGGCTGGAAATGGAAGAAGGAACGGCCTATTTTCTGGCACAACAAGAGATATATCGAAAAAAGAATCAGCAAACGTAGAACAGTGGAGTACAAGAAAAAGCGCAATCGAGAGACTTACCAGAAACTTCGTGATTACCAACAGAAGCTGGAACAGGATCGCAAGGATGGCCGGCTGTACTCTTCTGGAATCGCCATTGGCAAGACGCCAAAAGCAAAGCAACCACCGAAGAAGAAAAGAAAAACAACAAAGCGAAAACAGTGATGCTGGGAAAGTGTGTGGAGCTGTGGAGGAATAGGCCACCAGCAGTCTAGCTATCGAGGGTGTGTCAATCATGGCAAACAGAAGGCTTTACATGTGCGGGTTGATACTCAGTATTTGGTTTCTGGCACTGCGGACGCGGTAGAACGCAATCCAGCATCGCAAACACACGAGAGCGACGGCCCAACCGACCACAAAGAAGAGATTACCGAGCAAGACATTGCCAATGCTACCTTAGAGCTTGTAGATTATATTGGTTTTGGCGAGGATTCAGAACGTGTTTCGGCACAGATCCAAGAGTTGGCAGGTGACTCCGACGATCGAACCTTCCATCCATCTAATAGAAAAAGAATCTTACAAATAGTACGAGCCACTAAGTAATTGGATTATACTGTAATACTATAGCGATCTGTCAATTCTGGCGACACCAAAACTTTTTGGGTAATCGCAAATACTTGTTCTCAAAGAGAGGTTCAACCGGAAGTTTCCTTGAGAGTGAGATCCTCCTCGAACCGGCCTCGCTTCTTATTCCTAGCCATCCTCTCTTCCGTGGAAAGGAATCCAGTTCTTGGTTTGTTCTTTTCGAAATTCGGATACACTTTCCAGATGTTTTGAATTACACACGATGGCAATGGTGAAGCAGCGCCGAATTGGAAGACATTTGTGGCGTACCAGAAATAGACACACCAGCGCTTGTGAGATTGCTCAACCCCCTGAAGTTGTGGCTGTACACCCTTCCTTCGTTTCTTCAAGATGTATTTCTTCAAGGAATGCAGGAGGTCATCCTTGTCAACCAAATAGAGTGGAGCCTCGATGGTGGCGCAACAAAGAAGGCCATGTTCCTCGACACAGTCACACTTGCGGGGCTTCTCATCAACTTCATCTTCGGGATGATAATCTTCAGAAGCCTCATCATCCACACAGAGGTAAGCCTCAATGACTAGCTTCTTGATGCTTGGTACCACAACAAAAGACGCATCATGGAACTCATCACTGCTCCCCCGTGCAACCATCTGACTTGAAGCCTCTGGACGAAGCACCTGGAAGTTTTCATATGGGTCCGGCTTGAACTTGGTCATGAAAATGATTTCCTTGTTGTCCTTGCACCGACTAACATCCTTTGTACGGAACCGTGTCCACACGATTTCACTCTCCTGTACCACATTCCCTAGGACGTTAGGTGGCTGCTTCCAGGAACATGTCGAAGATGATGAGAGAACAACGCATGGTTGCTGGAAACTGCTGGAACCAAATCACCTCGACCTTGGAAATGGAAAGCAGGGTTCCAATGTTGATTTGCTCTTTGTCCAGAATCAACTGGTAACTCAAAGCCGAATTACAAAAAGCATACATGAGACTGTTGCTCCCATCGGCAAGGACAAAGCAAACAAGGTCAGCAGGCAGAGCTCCAAAGGTACGCTGCACATTGAAACAGTCCACAACAAGCAACTGCTCAGGGAAATAGATAGTGGAATCCTCGTCATCTCTCTTGGTATTACTGATTGCATCCTTCCAATCTCGCGACCTCTCAAATTTTCCATCTTCCGTCTTCCTGAATGCAGGTGTGTGCTGGTGGCTGAAAGCCAAGCTGGCAACAAAGTCAGGAGATGCCTCTCCCGTGTGCTCGACAACAACCATGGAGGTTACCGGCATCTTGTTCGATGAAATGGACGTTTTATTATCTTCTATTATCCTACGGTCCATTTGCCCGTGAAATGAGTACCATGGATTGGCGTCCCAACAACATGGGGAATGAAGATTCCTATCCGGCTTGCTCTGCTTGTCGATGCTTTCGCGATGATTCGGACTCCACCACAACAACAAACTGCCTTTTTCGACAACAGACAATGATGTACGTTGTGGTGCTCGATCATGCCCTTCCGGTGACAAGGAGGGTATGGACATAGCGGATGGAAGCTATGCTGTGCTCTACAGGAGCATTGGGGTGAGCGATTGAGGGGTGTAGCGGTAAGTGCCATCTGCACAAGTTAACAGACTTTTTCGATCCAAACTGACACCTCATGCTATCTGCGTTTAAAGGTACAGCGGCTGTCAATGGCCAGGCAAGTTAACAGCAGTAGGTTGTTGGGAAAACACACATCCACTGCACGGGTCTCTACATGGCCGGTGAGTCTAACTGCAGCGGCATGAGCTAACGGCATCGGATCATTGTCGGTGGATAGAATAGGCTCGATAAAGTCTGAAATAAGACGAGAGTTTTCCGGGTTACCTCCCGCTGACGTGCAGACCTGGTGGTACCTCCTTAAATAAGTTGTTCGGATCAATTCTCTTGGTTCTTCTTTTGCGCCTCCGTCTACTACGGTAGCTAATACTGCTGCTGAAATCACAGAATCGTCATGTCCGGGATCTTTGGCGGCAACGCCCTGCACAAAGCGGCCAAGACGAAGGATTGGTCTCAATTCAAGGCACTGTGTTCGGAACATCCGAGTCAACTGCTCGAACGAGACGAAGGGTTCAATACTCCATTGCATTCTGCCATTGCCAATGGGATTCCTTCCGATGTGCTGATAAATGCCATTCGTATTGATGCTCGGTTGGTTCGTCTCAAGGATCGAGACAAGAACACACTCCTCCACAAAGCCTTCGAATATGGCATTGGACGCACAGCCGCCCTCAAGTTACTGCGTGCGGGACCTCAGATAGCCGCCACGCAAAAGAACGATGAAGATAAAACGCCCGTGGAAGTGGTGGTCGATGCCAAGTTGCCGTCGGCCTTTGGCTACAGCCTGGGGACTACGTGGATTCACTACAAGGACGAATATCCGGCCGTCTTGGAATGCGTACAAGATGCCAGCCAATGGAAAGACGGAGAACCCGTCGAACGAGTTGTCGCCTACGTGGGAGTCCCCATGGACCCGGAAATCAATGCCATGATTGGACACGACTATACGTACTGATGCCGTTCTTCTCTCTCCAGCTGCTTTTGTACACAAGATCGCTAGCAATCTATCCATCTAGAAATATACTTGAAGTTCATGCCAATGAGTCGAGTCAAAGAATTCAGGACGACTGTCCCAGGTTTTGCGGTCCCAGTTCGGTGGACTGGTTTGCTGGAGTACTCGTAGTCGTTTTTTGTTGTTTCCGTGCAAGCATGCTGATTGAACTTTCTCTTTAGCTCTTATAGTTTCAGTGCAAGCATCGAGTCGAGTCTCTCCGCCAAGGTACGTACCAGGTACGGTATTACACGTGGTAGTGGTGCGCCGCAACTGGTACCATAAGAGCAAAAACTGCAGTCTACCGGTCTGATAGTAGACACCGACTAGCCAGCGGTTGCCACAACCGGAGCAAAAGTGCTCCACAAGCAATGATTGCAACACTCTCTAGAAAAGAGCGAACACTGTGATTATTCATTCGTTTATGTTTGGTGTGATATTCTATTCTTCCTTCTTTCTTTTTGTTCGTTCGTTCCCTCAACTTCCACCCACTTGACTTCTCTAGCTAGCTAGCTACAGCGCCGTAGCTAGTCTAGATCTGTTCTAATACAAATAACTGGTATCTAATACAAATAACTGGTATCGTCGGCACCGAATCGCGTGGGCACCAACCACGGTTTGGGTACCTTGCCTTCGCGATCCAACCAATACAGTCCTTTCTTGTTATGGGCGTGCATTTTGGGCGCTCCGTGAAAATGCCACAAGTGCATGACCTCGCACGTTTTGATATATTTGGCGTGCCGTTGGGATTGTTGGAGTCCCCAGAGTGCGGCATTTTCACCACCGACTTCGTTCATTTTGAAAAAGGCATTTCCTTGCACAGAAGGTCGTTGAAAGAATTCCGGTTTGAGATGACCGGCCAGCAGGGTCCGATGAAAGGCGTATCCATCCCACGATAGCATTTTGTGTCGACATCGATTGGCACTGCCATTGGCATATGCCGGCGCGGTGGTACCGTGGAGTTTGGCAAAATGATCGCGTGTCGGAGAGGGAACCCGATCCTTGTCAAAGCCGGAAGTGGGAAGTGCCAATACGATATTGTGTTTGAGCCGGGATGCCGTGGCAACGGATTCATCAAACGCTTGATCGGCATTGGCGACAATAACGATATCGCTCTTGACAATGTCGGGGTTGGTGGCGTATTGGAACATTTCGTAATAAAAGGGTTGTGTGTCGGCTCGATGGACACATGTGAGCAGGGGTCGTTTTCTAGCTTGGTATTCGGGACTGTTCATGTTATCATCCAAATTCATGAAAGTATTGAATTCCTGTTCCAATTGTTCCATTCTGGTTTTGAAATGTGAGCAATTGGCATTTTCGGACGATCCATCGAGGATAATGACAACTTGATGAATGTGTGGATTGTGAATGTTATTGAGCAGGGATTCTTCAATCTCTCGTCGATGCGGAGAGACTTCTTCTTCCGGAGACTGAGCCCAGAAACTGGTGACGAGAGAAATGGATCCTGGAATGACTGCATCTGTGTTTTTGTCTTCAGCTTCCTCCTGTGTCTTGGCAGCAATAGTCTTGTCCACTGTAGCAACTTCAGGAGAACTACGTAGATTGGGGGTAGCATCAGTAGCATCTGAAGTGACACTGATTTGATCAGCATGAACATCTTCTGGTCCTTGAAGAGTCACTGGTAGTGGTATTCCAGGTATTCCACTGCTATTAGTACTGGTAGTTCCATTGCCATTGGTGACATCCTTCTTGATCTCACCACCCACAAGACTACTAGTGTGTGCAATGGTCTGCTGGGATGGCATCAAGACCGTCAATAGCGTCAATAGGGAACAGATGACCAGATACCCACGGCGTTGACCAGGAGATGGAGGAGGTGAAGAAGAGCCACGGGGAGATCCAGGACTTGCAGGAGGTGAAAGGACTGCAGATCCAGAAGACTTGCGAGCAACGGGAGACGAACTCATGGTAGACTACTAGTGGACTAGTAGACTAACTACTGTAATAGAAACTGTTGGTTTGTTGGTTGGTTTTATGTGCACAGTTGGAGTGAGAAAAATGCCGGATGGTTTTCTTGTGCCCACCACCAGACTGCTAGGTAGCGGCATTTTAAAAGCGCGGTACCACTATTGATTTATTCCCGAAACCAAAGCCCAAAGGCACACCAGATCCCGAGTCATCGTCTTTTTATTAAGTCTTTCTCAAACCAGTGTCTTTCGGAAACCGAAAAGACTCTAATTACCACCGGTCCATTCGAGACGGTCGATAATACATGTAGATTAGATTCAACAACCAAATAGAGTACGACTGTACTCGAGTACACTGTAGCTCCTCGAGTATATGTATTAGAGTACCAGTACTGACGACAGTAAAGATGCTCACAAAACACTACTATTATTTTAGTATGATGGGTTGAGAGATGACGGAGTGCTATTGCGCCCTGCACCATACCGGTACCGGTAGTACACTGTAGACAGCACAACCAACATGACATGCATCCAAGCCAGAGGGATACGAACAGTAAGCAGAAGTCCAAAGTAGTCTAGATGTATTGTAGTGATAATCAAGACAAAGGAAGACAGAGCCAATCAGTTCATGGGCAGGGATGCCATGGGATTGGAAGATCCCAAGGACAAACCACCACAATCCGAAGATGTACAGTCATTTGGGCTCGTTATTTATTCATCATTGCTCCCGTGTTCGCCGGCACTCTGTATTTTGCAGTCACCACTGCATTTCCCGCAGAACAAGAAATGATTGCCTCCAAATTGATATTACTAGCTAGCACAGTACGATCTTCACAATGCCCACTTGGGATACTTCCTAATCTTTCAATGGGGCCAGCCAGAGCTCCGGCACGGGTTGGTCGGCCATGTCAGCATGTCTATCAAATTATGGATGAATCGAATCAGGACCTTACAGCAAGGCACCCTATTCGTATGTCCTCATGGTCAATGATCAGGGACCCATCGGCTGCTTCAATCGGGCACAACGACCATGCTTCAATTTGGACGAAGAGGTGCCGCTCTTTTGCAGGATTTTTACTGCAGTCCTTGGTCTTTGGCAAACTCAGTCGGGTGGTGGCTGTTTCATTCCTTGTGGGGGCTGTCAAATTCTGTAATCTATACAAGGCCGATGCCAACACGCGAAGTGGAGGTTTTGGCCTTTCAAATGAATGCCGCCTTGGTACTGATGGCAGTGTTACTGGTGTTGTCCAAGCGGCAATAAATAGAATAAGAGCCACAGTACCTCTAGCTAGAGATATGACAAGATGCATCCCGCTGATACTCTTTGCTTGTGGCTGAATCACAGCTGCAAGCAAACAAACAGAACAATTCCGTGCGGTATTATCGGTACTGTCTCCTCACGTTCTCGGAATGAATCAACAGCCAGCCACCCACCATGCACTTGGTCATTGTCATTGGAATGCAGGCTCCACTCAAGCGAACGGACACACTTGCTTGACCTGGGCGGAGATAGCTACGATACCCACCAGTACTAGCTAGTACTGTTCGTGCTCCCCCTTTTTCAAGCAAGGACACAAACGCCCATGTGCATGTCTCACTGGTTGACAGGATGGCTATGCTTCTACCGGTACAGTTCCAGTAGACTAGCCAGTAGCACGCATAGTCCATCTGTTCCAACCAAACTGCAAGGTTGCAAATTCATCTAGCTCATTGTGTATACGTGTATACTAGCTAGTAACCCATGTGAGCTGGGAGACATGCGTGTATCTACGGTATTCAGTCGGCGGCAAAAGTTGAGACTGCTGCTTACCGCAGTCGTCCAGTCCCACAACCCGAGCTCCCTGGGCGAAAACTAAACTAACTTGATTTGAGCCTTGTGTTAGCAAAGCGATTGAGTCACGAGCGCTGTTTGCCGTTGCCGCGGTGTCAATCGCACCTTTTGAAGAGGAAGCAACCACAGTTTCACCGTGAGAGTACGTAGCCAGCAAGATACCGGTAGCAGTAAAGGGATAAGCAGAAACTTGAGCACTAATGACTCAAGAAGACAGAGCTGCTCAGTTCATGGGCAAAGATGCCATGGGATTGGAAGAGACCAAGGGTAAACCGCCACCATCGGAAGATGCAGTTCGTGAAGAGTACTTCAGAACCTTCTCAGGCATGGCACTGGTCATTGGACCCTTCATGGCCAGCACTCTCTACTTTGCAGTTACAACAGTGTTTCCTGCAGAACAAGACATGATTGCCTCCAAATTGAAATTGATAGCTCAGTTCGAATTGCAGTATGTCTACATGGGGTACTACATCATTTTTTGGACACGGCTGTACGCTGTCATCAATTCCAATGCGGCAAGAGCACCAGCACGGTTGGGACGTCCTAATCAGCATGTCTATCAAATAATGGATGCATCTGGTCCTTACAGTAAGGCTCCCTATGTCCTCATGGTGGACGACAAAGGGCCAATTGGACGTTTCAATCGAGCACAACGAGCATGCTTCAATTTGGATGAACAGCTGCCACTCTTCTTGGCAGGTTTCCTTTTGCAATCATTTGTCTTTGGAAAACTCAGTTTGATCATTCCAATTGCATTCTTCGTGGGGGGTATTCGATTTTGCAATCTATACAAGGTCAGTGCTGATACCCGTGGTGGAGGCTTTATATATGTCATCTTTGCCTATCATGCAAATGCTGCTCTGGTACTCTTGGCAGTTGCGCTGATGTACTATAAGAAGCAGAAATAATTTCAACAACATACATGTACAGTACCGGACAATCTACCGTATGAGGCAAGAGAAGAACAGTACGAGAGGCAGCTGCTGTTCTAGTGGCTTGTGGGTTTGCTTGTTTTGGCTCTGTCCCTTTTGGAATTCTGGAAGCTGAACTTGTTACCGGACCGCATGTCATCAGAACAGCTATTTTAAATTAAAAGGTGAGCGTTCCTTGTCAGAGCGTCAGAACCAGAGAGTCAAAGCAATACTAGTACTCGAGTATCCAGCCAGCACCTAGCCACAAGCTGCCGGTACGATGTACTCGATACAAGCAGGCTGTCTGTTTCGCTTTGAAGGTTGGGCTGAGCTGTGAAATTTAATCTTTTAGCACTGATATGGCTGGAGGACAAGAGACGATCAGTAGAAGAATAGCTGCAAGTCCTGATGGAAACTTTAATAAACAGTGCTTTATGCGCTTTACGTGTATTTCATTATTCATATGTGACTTCTGAGTGACTCCACTCTTGTTTGTGAAGCACGAACTTTGAAGGGTTCAGTGCAAGCTGTGGCATGACAGGGGAGATCGCTGCACACAACACTTTCTGGGCACAGCTGTGGCTCCTTTGTCAGATACACCCGAACTCCATCGTCCTCCTGAAGGGGGCACCGTTTTCTGTCGAGGAGGCAGTCTGCGTGGAGGCAGCCTTCTTCCAACAGTACTGCTGTCGGTCTCGATTTTGGGGGGTTGTCTTCGCTGCATGCTCCGTCTTCGTTGTGGCTTCCTTGGGGAGCTGTATGAGGCATACTTGGTTTTCTGCTGCCTTTGATTGTCGGTCATCAGTTGCTCCTGTACATATTCAGCCCGGAACCTTCGGTAGTCAGCAGCGGTGTAGAACAAGTCTGCAAGCAAAGAGGGATCTGGTCTTTGTAGCATGATCACTTGATCTTCATCAGAGAAGGATACTCTCTTTCTGACAGCATTTTTGCTTGAAGCATCATCAGATCTGGTCAAAGAGGTAGTGTCGCTTACTTTGCACATGTTTCTATACTCTGAGTAGTCCGCAACGATATCCAACATAGCTATTATTGTCTTGTCTTTTTATGTGCCCGAGACGAGTTGCTGGAAATTGTGAGACCAAACAAAGCAGAAAAATCGGCCTTTTCACATTGTTGCCGTTCCGTCAACGTTTACATCCCCTTTAGTACGGCTAAGAAAGCAAACATATTCTGACATAAGGAGTCCCAAAGATTTGAAGAATCATAAGGCATCATGGTCATGCTGGTCTAATTGTTGTGCTCCCTGGAGTGTGTCTGGAAGCTGTCTGGGCGTCTCTGCTCTCTGCTCAGTACCGTAACGGTAGAGGGTTGAGGAGGAAGGTGGTTTCTGGTTTCTGGCTTCGTGTTTCGTGGGCCATCGCTTTCTACAACTCCTTTACTAGTCTGCCTGCAGTACTGGAGCACTATCGAGCACCCTACCATACTTTTACGGTCATACGATTTTAGCAAAAAGTGACTTTACGGTATCGTATGTACCGATGGAACGCATTCTTTGAATGATTCAATCGAATTAAATTCTATTGAGCGATACATGTAGTCTAAATCATTCCAAAGCATCAGGAATCAGGAGCTTCAACAGGGAATGAAGAGCTACTAGTATTGAAGATTCAGATTCATACTCAGACTACGATACAGTAAGAGCAGAGTACTGAGCAGCTAGTAAAGCTGTCTGGCACTCCTTGGTAAGTCTATTGAGCACTTTCAGTCTCTTTTAAAACTACGACTCGACAAAAGGAAACAAGTACTCGTCGTACTGACATATGTCATGGTCATGCTGGCTATTGAATCTCTTCTGGCTTGGCTATTCGGGTTGCTGTCCACGCGCCCGAAGTGTGAAGTAAGTAAGTGTGTTTAAGTGTTCAAGTGTGAGGTCTTCAGTGTGCGAGTATGTCTGGAAGAGCTCTGGATGTCTGGAGTCGCAAACAGAGTAAGCTCTGACTTAAAAGAGACGAACCTCAAGATGTGTTGGGACAGTACTGGCATGGGTCAGCGGCTGGATGTTGCAGTTGCCTTTTGCTGGAGTTGCGGGTAATGAGCACTTACTTTTATATAGAACTGCTGGTTTGGCTGGATATTCCACTTTGAGTCATGCTTCTGAATGAAGTAAGTTCCAGATTCCAACTTTCTTCCAGATTTGAGTTCTTGTCGAACCGTTTTTTGGTAAAGACTTGTGTCATTCTTCCATTCAGTCATTTTGTTTTTCAGTCATTCTTCCAAAATAAAACATTACTCAGAGTACACTATTTTAAAATTGGACCTCACAAAGGTATAAACAGGTATTCCCGCAACTAATGGTACCAGTACCGGTACAGTACCGGAAGCCGATACAGTAAGAAGATGATTCTGAGTCTTAAGAAACATTGAGCAGAAGCACAACGATCCGCACCTAAGAATTGTGCTTTGCAACTAAAACTAGCTAGCGCTGAGTACTGTACTAGCTAGCTAGCCGCTTGACAGTCGCCTCCATCAAGCAGCATCAAGCAGCTTGAACTGACTACGATCAGTTAGTTCACCTGGCCAAAGCCGCAGTCAGTCGACATGTACTATCTACTAGTCAGCACCTAGCTAGCTAGCTATCTAGTAGATACCAGTCGGCAAATGCACCTGCCTTCATGGTTGACTTCATAGCAGTGCCGCCTTCAAAACATTGCATTGTCAGTGCCGGTACATACATGTTCTTTCAACATGTTGCAGGCTGCAGTTCTTTCCCGCGAAGGCTTTATGTGTCTAACCCTGGCACAGCAAACACAGACATTCTTCTTTACGATGTAATAATTCAATAGGTGTGCTGTTTGTTGCATGTAGTATGTAGTTATATTCTCCACTTTGCACTTCTTTCTTCCTTGGTTTCTTTAGTACTCAATTCTATAGAGATGTCAATGAGGCGAGCGGTAGCTAGCCGTACCAGGGACTTCTTGGATTACTTGGCTCTCAGAAAGCTTGTTGAATGAACAAAGAAAAGGCTTGTAGGGGAATAAAAAGTATTTGTGTTCCTTTTGTACGAAGTAGATTCGATTCGAATGATTCTGCAGCCCTTAGCTATCAGCGAGGAATCGCGTGGGTATTCAGCAGTGCATCAAGGCCCAGTCGTTGAGTGCTAGGAATAGTTGGAGGAGAGAATTGATAATGTATGTAGCTACGATCCACAGGTTCGGAGCCTACTAGTAGTGTCTGCCCGACCAGACCAGAGCGAGACCGCCTGGTGTACCGGTATGCATAGATCTTGCAAGCTATGAGGACAAGCAAGAAGCAAGGACCCACAGGCAGAGACATAGCCCTCAGGAGATTTCGTCCCGAGCCAGGAAGTCATTCTTGCTTGTCACATCGAGATGGGGAGAGTTCAACGCATTGCTGCGAGATTTGGAAGGGCATTCCATAAAAGAGAGACACAGCAGGGTGGCCGGCCCGTCAAACTAGCTAACTCTAGTTGCATGCAGTCACCGTGAAGCGTGAGGGCTGGCATTGGTCCAACGGATTACTTCAGCCCTTCTTTTAAGCGTCGTTGGCTACTCTACTACAAGTACGACTGAATACTAGTATTGCAGGTGGGTGCTGTGGTTACATTGTAAACTGCTTGATGATGTTGTCGGTTGCCGATTGTTCCCGGATCTCTCCTCTATGCATACGGTGGTCTAGGTCTACCCGCTGCTCGTGCTGCATCCTGGTTGTCGGAAGTGTTTGCGTTTACCGGTACGAAGCACACCGTACCAGATACTAGTACAATGAAGGGTCCAAGAGTGCAAGATTCAAGAGTACGGTGCGGGCGTGTGGTGGTAGAAGGCACTCGCATTGGTAGCATTTTGTCCTTTAATTCTGAATCGATGAACTTATGACCCAAGAAAATGTCATCAGAACAGCTACTGAGGTAAGTTGCGTGCCACCGTACCGGTATCCACAGTCGGCCCTTTTCAGAGGTACCGGTACCCGAGACCCGAGGACATCGAGCATCGAGCTAGCTAGCTACTTGAGTACTGGAGTAGTAGTTTAGAGTACATGTATGTACATTGTTTTTTTATTTATAAGTACCTGAGAGCCAAGAGAATACCGTAGGCTGAAGGAAGCGACAAGCGACAGGGTCTGCGTCAGAAACGAGCGAGAGTCGAAGCTATGTTTCAGTGTACCGGTACTCCGAGTACACAGTACATGGCTCTATGCATGTATGCATGTACATGGTTGCACCGGCACTGGTACCTAGTATTATGGAGCTCATGTAGCTTGTAAGCCGCCTGTTTGTCCTCTGTTTGGCTGGCGTTGGGCCGAGCGGTGAAATATTTCTACTCTGGTACCGGTATCAGGTAGGCCTTACCAGAGCCAATGGCCAGGGCGTCGCTATCGTCTGCGGGGCACTGATATGGAGGAAAAGCGACAAACAGTACGTAGAATGATAGACCTGATAGAAACTTTAATAAAGAGGGCTTTACATGTATAAGTGACTCTTCTTTGTTAAGCACGAACTTTGAAGGGTTCAGTGCAAGCTGTGGCATGACAGGGGAGATCGCTGCACACAACATTTTCTGGGCACAGCGGTGGCTCCTTTGTCAGATACACCCGAACTCCATCGTCCTCCTGAAGGGGGCACCGTTTTCTGTCGACGAGGCAGTCTGCGTGGAAGCAGCCTTCTGCATGGTGCCTTAGCAGCTGGAACCGATGCAACAGCACTGTGGTCGGTCTCAATTTTGGGGGGTTGTCTTCGCTGCATGCTTCGTCTTCGTTGTGGCTTCCTTGGGGAGCTGTATGAGGCATACTTGGTTTTCTGTTCCCTTTGATTGTCGTCCATCAGTTGCTCCTGTTCCCTTTCAGCCCGGAACCTGCGGTAGTCGGCAGCGGTGTAGAACAAGTCTGCAAGTAGAGAGGGATCTGGTGTTTGGAGAATGATCACTTTAGGAGCTCCACCCGAGAAGGACACTCTCTTTGTGACGGTACTTTTGCTTGAAGCATCATCAGATCCGGTCAAGGAGGAGGAGGTTGTGTCGTTCACTTTGCACATGGCTGTTTCTATACTCTGAGTAGTCCGAAAAGAGATCCAACCATAGCTGCTATTGTTGCCTCTGTTGCTGTTTGTGTCCTCGAGAAGAGGTGCTGGAAATTGTGAGATGGAAGGCAAGCAGAAAACTGAACTGGCGTCGGCCTTTTTCACAGGAGCCGGTTCCGTCTCCATGATGGGAACATCTCTTTTACAACGAAAGAGCTTACGAAATGAAATAAGGAGTCACAAGTATTGGAAGAATCATAAGGCATGGTCATGCTGGGCAACCGGTTTCCTGAGTCGAGTGTGTCTGAACGTCTCTGCTCGGCAGCTGCTTCGCAAACGGAGTGCCTGAGTCGAGTCCCTCTGACTTAGTGATGAAACCCCATGCCTTCGATGTGGTTCTAACAAGACCCAGCAAGCTACCTAATACCAGTAGCTGTTCAGACCATGCTTTTACCGGTAGTCGTAGGGATATAACATACATCATGCAGTAGTCTAGTAGGACATTTGGAAGAGTAGAGTGGTGGGGGGATGTTGCCTTGACTCGTTGACTGCGGCTCGTCGCTGTCACTGGTCGTGATGATGTAGACTATGTGGTGATGGCCACAACGTCACAACAGTTTCCAGAGCTGAATTAGAAGGACAATAGCCAGAGATCAGGAATCAGGAGAGACAAAGACGATATCCCGATTAGTCTGCTGAAGTCCCAAGATGGCATTGTTTGGGGGAGAGTTCTACTACAATGTCATTTACTAGTAGCTACTACTAGCTACAGGTATAAAGTCGGTTTTGGTCCATCGCTTTGAGACATCAGCGGTACTATAGCAAAAACAGTACAATATCGGAAACCTTCTGTCTCACTCTCTATTTTCTGAGTTAACGGGACTCAATAATGGACCAAAATATTTAACTATCTCACAAAAAGTATAACGAAAATGAAATACACGTTTAACATAGGGTATGTGATGTTAAATCATGTGGTCAGTATGGGAAACATGCTATGAGTCAATGGTACTTGAGGTCGATTTCGTATTAATCTACTTATTGGTCAATCGGACATTGAGACAGTCATTTGCTTATAGACGGTTTTGGTCCATTTTTGGGCTGTAGCGCTGGTACACTTTCTACGTGTCTCACCCACTTCCTTTATTAAACTCGTAGTAGGCAACGAGCCCACCAAAAAAGCCTCTTAGTAGTGCTTGCTTTGCAACAACTTTGGCTAGCTACACGCCATCAGCATCAAGCAGCTTGAACTGACTTCGACCAGTCCGCCTAGCCAAAGCAGCAGACTGGTCTGAGCTCCGGTCAGGTACAGTGTGCTAGTACGTGTACCAGCACCTCCCGGCACCCACCGGCACCCACCGGCACCTAACTAGTAGACTAGCTAGCTAAACTAGCTAGTAGACTAGCTAGCTAGCTAAACTAGCTAGTAGATACCGGCAAATAAATGCACCAGAACCTTCAGTGCCGCCTTACCGCTTCCTTCATAGCAGTGCCGCCGTTATGGCATGTCGCAGCCGGTACATGTTCTTCATGCTAAGCCTTTACGTATCTAACCCTGCCACAGCACACACAGGGTGTTCTTTACAATGTAATGATGCATTAAGTGTTTGTTCCTTGTTGTATGTAGTAATAATATTCTCCAGCTTGCTCTTCTTCTTCGTTGGTTTATTCAAATCTTTACTCCTAGAGAAGGCTCTCTTCCTGCATAGTACTGTATCCTGTATCGTTTTTGTAGCATTGTATTTCCAATTCACACACTCCGCCGAATGCCATGATGGTGTACATGCGTTGTTACGACAGTATCCACGCACACACACACACACACATCTCACACACAACATCCGTACGCGCACACACACTCACATACACACTTGGTTGGTTCCATCGAAATAAATGAACTCTTCACGTTCATTCTCTCCTGCCTTCAATTCCATAATCATGATCTTCGTAATCAAAATAGCCACTGCTATCATTGTCGCCATCATTGCCATATCCGTATTGTCCAGCCTTAAAGGTGGACCCCTTTGGGTTGTTGATAAAGTTGTCTTGACGAGACAGGGGTTGGCGCTTGCGTTTTTGGTGTCGCACGAGCACTTTGCGAGGAGCACTCTCTTGTTGTCCAAATCCATAATCCATGCGGTTTGTCCCGGAAGGATTGTCAATAAAGTCTTGATCTTGCTGTTGCTTCTTCTGGTGCGCTTGAAATTGTCTCATGCTGTTGCTGACCCCAGTATCAAAGTAACCGTCCGGTGCTGACTTGATTCCGTAGGGATCATCAATGAACTGCTCTTGTGACGATTTCTGCGCTTTTGGATGTGGTGGTGGCTGTGTGTTGTCTTCCGTCTCAGGCAAATTTTCTTGTGCTTGAATTGGCATGTCGGAACGAGGTGGAAAGTTGGACCTTGCTTCCATGCCTCCCTTCGGTGCCCCCTTGTTCCCCCCGTAGGGATCATCAATGAACTGCTCTTGAAACGATTTCTGCGCTTTGGGATGTGGTGGTGGCTGCATATTGTCTTCCGTCTCAGGCAAATTTTCTTTTGCTTGAATTGGCATGTCGGAACGTGGTGGCCTGTTGGACCTTGCTTCCATACCTCTCTGCCTTTCGTCGACGTTTCCTACTGGGGGTCCACCTGGTGCCGCGTCGTTTGCATAGGGATCATCAATGAAGTCTTCTTGAAATGACTTTTGCGGTGGTGGCTGCTGCCGCTGCTGCTGCGGTGGCTGCTGGTATTGTCCCGGAGCTTGTGGTGCTTGCGGCATGGCAGCACTTCCACCCCCCACGCTATTCCCATAACCATCAGGCGCTGGCCTGTTTCCGTATGGGTTTTCAATGAATTGGTCCATGGAGGATTGTTGGGCAGCTGGTGGTGGTCCTGCTCCACTACTAGTACGTTGTTGTGGTCTAGCTGGTCCTTGACTCTGTCCTGCGGGAACCTGGGGTCCTTGTCCAAAGGTATGTCCATAGCGAGCGGGTCCACTGTTCCCGTACGGGCTGCTAACGAATTGATCGTATTGATTTTGAGCTTGTTCCATTTGATCAATGAGCTCTTGGTCTCTTGCACTCAAGTGCATGCTGCCCGTGGTGCGACCGTCATTGGTTGGGTCCCGCGGCATCTGGGACTCGGTTGGGGGGGGCACTGACGGATCATCGCCCGCAGTAGCAACCGGAGCAGCAGTGTCAGTAGGAGCGGCTTCTGGTTCCGGCTGTGCTTGTTGTGCTTGTGGTGGCGCTGGTTCTTGATAATACGCACGCCTCATTTCGTCTTGACTCTGTTGTCCGCCAGCTCCTCCTTGGACAGCGGGAGGTCTAACAGTGTTGCGAGCATGAGGATGCGTATCATAGTCGTTTCCGTCTGGCTGCATCCAGTCGTTAAACCCATCGGGCCTCATGGCTAAACTAACCGAACCGCATGGACGTGAAGATAATGGCAGCACAAAGGCAGACGATGTCGTGATCTGAAGCAGCAACAACAGCCCCGCCACGGCAACGAACGATAAAGTCGTCATGGTCCAAAAGAAGAAAAAAACAAATCACAAAAAGATTTTCCAAAGATTTTGTGATTGAATTGATTTTCCGCCAATCGCCTGGTCTGCCAGTAAACGGTTTGAGTGACGTGGACCGTTGAGTCGCTAAATGCAACCCCGCGCAAAGCTCTATCCTTAATGGTTAGCTCTAACCTTAATGAGTATCTTCCTTTTCAACGGCTGAAACCATGAAATCGGAACATCTAAAACGGATGAAGAGATGCTGTGCAACTCTTCAAGATCTAGCTAGCTAACTCGACCGAAGGGTAGCTTGTCATTGTTGTCCTTGGAAAAACAGTAGCAACTTACAGAAAGGGAAGGACCATGAGACGATTTCCTTGTCATCTTCTGAAGGCCCTAATCTGGCTGTGCCCGGTCTTGGTCAGTCAAGCCCAACTACAAGATGGCAATCATTATCATCTTCTTCGAGGATCATCTCGGTCCCTTCAAGAAAGCACCAACGAGCAGGACAACAACGCCAAAATGTTGAATTCTCTTTTACGGCTAGCATTGCCCACCGTAAATGACGAAATCAGGCAACAAGCCCCTGACCCATTTTCTACTGATCAGACGGGAACCTACAATATCGGATCTTCCAGGATACCCCTGTGGTGCAAATCGGCCTCGTTTGATTTTGATTACACCGTGGGAGGTACGTACGATACAAAAGCAATAACAATCACTCATTCACCGGTTGATTTGTACATCTTTCTCACTTGCATAAATGAGTACCATTCTCGATCGTTGTTTTTCTGCTGCGTGTAGAAATCGTTGGTTTGTCAGACATGTACATCGAGTCGATGAGTGTACTGCCATTCTCTGTGGGTCTGGATCCCGGTCTCATCAGGACCGATTGGATGGGAAGCTTCATGGCCAAAGTAGCCACTCCCAGTATGATCATGGCCAATGACTTGCATGGGACCCTGAAAGCCACGTGTCCCGAAAATGGAAATGAACGAACATTGTCCTTGTAAGACAAAAACGAAAACAAAAACAAGCTTGCAAGATTTGTACTTGGTGTTGCTGGTGTGGCTGGACGAAAGCATACTCATCCTTTTGTTTTTTGTTTTGGTACTCAACACAGAAGCGGAGCCATGGTAGCCGTGGCACCAACTCTGGAAGGACGAATGGACCTGGCGGGACGCTTGTGTGGAGCCGGAACTATGGCATTTCAAAATGCATCCATCCCAAATCCAATGGACGTGGGATACGACAATATTATTACCAGCATTGATGAATCACCCAGTTGGCTCCCAAGTTTCCTTTTGGAAAGCTTGGTGGGATACTTTGCCGAAGTCTACAAGCAAGATTTGATTGACTTTGTCGAGCCGCGTATGCGACCCGCCATTGAGAGTAGCCTGGTAGAGACGGCATTTTCGTCGCCCACGGATCTGATTCCGATGAATCTCGGTTTCATGCGAAGCAGTGTGGAGCATGGAATAGAACGACTGTTTGGGTTGGATGGTGAAGAGGATCCATAGTGATCCTGGCATGGCTGAAGTGACATCGAGCTGGACATTTCCGTCTCCCACACAACTGGTGGTTGTTTGTTGTATGTAGAGTAGCTCTTCCATGACGTAACACTAGTTTCTTGACGTCCCTATCACTGTGAAAGACATCCTCGAGCCTCGAGCAAAGATGTCTGCTGGGTCTCCAAGTCAGATACCATACCATGACCGTGTCTTAAGGTTGGGTTTGTGCGTGCTACTAGCTAGCTTGTATTAATAAGTTGGGTATCGATGTTGGTACATTATCGTTTAGTTTACAGTTTAGTTTGTATTACAGTTCTAACTTTTCTCTATAAGATGGATGCTGTGTTCTCATGCCGTGTTGGCAACAGTCATGGAGGGTCTTCTTCTGGCGCAACCTCTCATTCTCTGGAGAGAGGCTTGCTCTTTTACCCCTGTCCCCCAGCGTCCCCCAGCGGGCATTGTTGGTGCTGGAGTGACAGTCTCTTGTCCGTCCATGTCAAGCTCACTATTGGTGCAGCGAATTTCTGGAAGCTGCCGTGTCCGTGATCTGCGCTGGCGTCGCTTGGTAGGAGGAGGGGGAGATAAAGAGCTACTGCCACGGGATATTACGTTGCGAATGGCATGAAGCTGAAGGCTGTCATCATGGCTCAAGAGACACTCGGCAGCAGCAGCGTCCTTGCGGAATCTTCGAAAGTCAGCGGCACTGTAGTACAGGTCTTCTTTGAGGACCAATGAATCCTGGCGGTCAACTAGAATGGTTTCCACTGTCTTTGCAAACCTGACACTCATCTTCACTGCTTTGGTTTCTTTGCTCAGAGTGACGGGAGGGGGTGATACGGTCATTCTGCACATGATGCTATTGTTAGGCTCTTCTACCGAAAGGGAGCTAATACAACAACTAGATCGTTCAAGGTTATTGATGTTCATTAGTCTCCAAACTGAAAATTGTGAGACTTCTACAACCTAGACCTACAAAGACAGCTCAAAGAGCTACTCGGGTGTAAGGTGTTCAGAAATCTTTTAAAAATTTGCCCAGCAAGAGCCAAGACGCAGAACCGCGAAGAATGAGAATGGGTGGAGCCGAATGGGGATTGTGGAACAATGATACATGTTTGGAACAGTCTTTGTCAGTAAGATCATTGCCTCTTACACAAGATCCAGTCAAGGAATATATAAAAACCATTGCTACCTGTTTTGCCTTTTTTACCTAGTCAGATTATTGGAGCTTCGTAGAAGGAAAAAGAGCACTAGTATTTAACAGCTGATATCAATAGCCAAATTGATTGCGAAAGGCTTCGCGAGCGAACCGCACGGAGTGCTTCAAAATGCACAAAAGACCCTCCTCAGACTGCTCAGGAGGTTTGTGGCAACACAGCTGTACCAGCATGCGCCACCCCTCAGTCTTTGTTGTCCTCAACTTTATTTCAGCAACTGCTCCTTTTAAGTCTCGGTTCTCCTTGACCATATTTCAGCAACTGCGACTTCAAGATTTGCTGGTACCTCTGAAGGTCCCTTTTTTAATAAAGACTAGGGAATGGCAGCTGAATGGCTGGGAATGCGGAGCATTTCAGTACAAACTGCGGTACAGTATCTTCCCCACGTAGAAAGATGCGAAGAGTTACGTGATCCTCATGGAGCTCTTGCTCTTTTGAGTCTTTTGGTTGCGGCTTTTTACCAAAGCGGACGCTGCACGTGGTTCCGATACCGCTAGCCAGCGACTAGCTACTCCAGTAGTACTGAGTACTGAGTGGTAGCTCTTGTCCTGTTTGTACCGGTACAGTCTTCCACACAGAAGCTGTCTCCCCTTCTTGGTTCCCCTGCTCTCTTGTCGGACTTGTCAGTCTTTCAGGCATCGAGTTGACCACTATCCGTTTGCCGTTTGCCGTTTGCGCCAACAAAGAACCGCACAAGCTGTAGCTAGCTAGCTAGAACGCAAATGACACTCATAGGAAGAAGGAACAAGTGGCTCTGTAAATACAACAGTATTACTAGCATCGTACTCGTAGTATGTATCATACTTGCGATCCCGAGGAAGGTGTTCAACACTATTTTTGAGATGGCGAGTCACTGGGTTTCTTCCAAACTTCAAGAAGGTACAGCGGCTCTTCCCTCAAGTCAGTGTTGTGTGTTGTGCCGGTTAGCTGCTGGCTGTTTGCCACATCAAGAGTAACCCTTGGGCCCCGTCCACAAACCACCAGCCAGCCATCCAGACGTCATGCAACCTTTGCTTCTTGTTTGTTTGGGTTGCCAAGCCCTGCTGGATCTTCATTCTTCAGGCTTCATTGTTGCATTGCTGCCCCGTTACACGTGCACTGGATGTGCTTGGGATTAGGGGACCTTCCCCGTGCATCCTGCATCCTTCAGAAAGCCAAGAAAACAAACCAGCGGAACAAGCAAGAACCTGGATTTTTCTTAAAGTTGGGATATTAGAAATTTGACTATTAACAGGAGGGAGCAATGAGATGTACCGTAAAAGCATGCACGGAGTATCTGAGCACATGCAGTGGCTGCTGTCGCCTTGTCGACATGTCACTCATCACCTCTGCTACAGCATTCAGCAACTGACCGAATGCGTCACTGGGTAGAGCCCAGTCAACCCCAAAGCTCACGGAAGGGTGTAAACTTACTTGTTTGCACCGTTCCCAGAGCTTTCAGAGCAAAGGGCTCTCATCCTTCCAATTCCAAACAGAAATTGTCCACTGGATCATGTTTGATGGCCACAACCGTCACTCATTAGCTCACTCATTCTTGATGGTCACATGGCCACACCGTCACTCTCCGCAAAAGGCAGCGAGAATATCACACAAGCGCACCAAACACCAAAACCGATAGAAGGAGGCCGGGAGCCCCCTCGACCACTGGCCCCTTGTTAGTTATACATGTAGCAGTATCGTAGTATTGGATAAGACCAGTGGTCGTCCCAGCTCTCCAGCTGGCTTGGCAGTCAGCAGTTCATCTGGTACCGACCGGCCGGTATTGATGGTTACTGTTTGGTTATAATACGGTAGGAGCACCGGCAGTACCAGCAACCATTGCCGAGCGCCGGTAAGCGACCAAAAGGTTTCATTCAACAGCATTGCATAGTACTATAGTACTGGTAGGAGTGCTGGTGCGGTACCAGCATTGCGGGCCGCGTTGGTTTGGCTAGCTGAGAGGTGGTGGCCCCGGCATCCATGACGGGCCCCAAGCCAGAACGAAAGCGAAGGACTTCGGCAGCTAGTACAACCTTGCCTGAGACTTCAGAGTCTTTTTCTGGAAGTTGCTTCCTTTTTTCGGTTCCACGCTTTTCAAATGCTCCGGGTGGAAGTTGCTTTCGCTCCTAGTGTTCCACGCTTTGCGGTTCCACGGCGTGGACGATGGCGAATCCATGACAACTCTAGAAAAACAAAAAACGCTTCGGCAATGCTTTCCACAGCTATCATAGACCCAATAACTTTTTGGCAGATAAGATGACGGCGCCGAATATTCAGTGGCTTGAGCTACAGTCATGTGAAGGATATCCTCTTGGCCGGTTGGGAAGCAGAGCTGTCATGGATGGCATAGAATATGCCGAGATTGCAAGGGTTAACCCAAAAAGGGGGCTTGGATCTCAATAAGACAAATCGTTCGCAGCGCGTTCAGAAGAATATTCCAAAGGGGAGAACAAAAGGAAGGTGCTTCCCAAGAACCTCAAGAAAGCTGAACGCATCCTTCGATTTCATAAAAGACGCAACTAAGTAAAACAAACATTGTCAGTGATGGCGGAACGCTTCCCTAAGAACATTCTTGACTCTTGGGTACGGTAGGCAATCAATTGGCCTTGAAAGGAAAGCGACCATCCGATCTTGTTGTGATCCTCTTGTCCAGCTTCGAAGCGGAAAACGCTGGAAAGTGATGATTGCCCATCTTCCAGAAAGAAACTGTTGAACGCTTTAGGATTATCTGCACAAACTGACTGAGCTCCACCTACTCCTGACTGAAGAGCTCCATGTATTACACGTAGAGCTGCCCTTCCATGGCAACAAAACTCCCTTTGGATCGGCTTGCAAGAAAATTCAACCCGTTTGAAAATGCAGTCTCTGTGCATATCCTGAGTCTCGTAGTCTTCTGTTCAATGCATGTCAGATACGTCCACGTGCGTTTGAAATGGGTGAAAGGAACTTGCTCACGAAAGCCATCAGATCCTGTTCTGCTACCGGTAGCATCCTTGAAGAGCTGCGTTTGGCTACCGGTAGCTATGCACCTCAGCTTCATTGCAGATACTTTGCGCACAACGAAAGGGTCCATTCAATCCTTCCTGCTGGCAACTTCATTGGTCCAGACATTGAACGCTCCTGTGGCAGAGTCGTTCTCTGCTGCCCTCGCATCTGCCCATTCCTTATCCATCTGCATGCAGCTAAAAGAATTGACGTCGCTTGCTGAGCTGTCCCTGACTGTCTAGTAGGGGGCGCCACAATCTCGCCTTGGAGAATGTGAACCTTGATTTCGACAAGTCCTTGGGAGAACGAGCTAACGTCACAGGTTGAGAGGATCAGGAGCATTTATTTACGTCTCTCAACAACAAGTACAGAAGTGCCAAAGTCCGATACCGGTACTCTGGTGCGCATTGCAAGACCTTGTAGACTCCTTGCGTTGAGTGAGGAACGATCCTGCCCTGTCCAACACAACGAAAACGTCGAATCTGCTGAAGAAGACGTACATCTTGTACGGTCTCTTGAGAGCGAACCCAATTTTGTGGGCGGTGCCTGTTTTAAACTCCACCTGCTGAGTGACTTCCTTCAATCCAACCTTGGAGGCAGGAGTAGCAGAAAACCGATACTATTTTATATTAATATGGCAACCATAGATTGATTCGGTACAGTCGTAGTAGGACAAGGGACATTGAGCCACCTGCGCTCCGAGATCTTTATCACCAACGGACAAGAGTCACAGATTCTAGACGCCGTCGACTCTTAACATGAACGATAATCTTTCAATCACACACAATTTTAAACCATTTCACCCTCCCAACGCAGCATAATCTATTCCTCCAGATGCCGCCGCAACAACAATGATTGAATTTGCTTGGAATACAAGACGGGGCATGATCTCTCAAGTGCCTCGAGGGGAGCGATCGCAGCAAGCCCCATCTTTTCGGCAGGACAACAAAGATGCCACGCTGCCTTCCCACCACCTTGCCAGATTCGTACTGCCACACCGCCGCGAGCTGCATCGTCTGCGCTGTTCCGTCCGAAATGAAAAATGCCACCATGATCATTCGGCATCACCTCAAAGCCAGGGAAGCAAGGACCATCTTGTATCCAACCCACCATGCATGCAGCAAGTCTTGCTGGCCCCGCCCCGCAAGACCCCGTTGACCTCCCCAATTAAAACGTTGTTACTAAGACTGGTCTTCCCCGCACTCTTCTTCTTGTTTTGCATTCGTTCAATTCATTCTATTTCTCTATTCATACCCCAATTCTTGTCTGGACAGTGGTTCCTGGATGGGTCGTCTGTGGCTGGTGTTTGGTGTTCGAGTCGGAACGGGCGAGTTTCCTCGCGTAGTTTTGGGTGTATTCGGCAGGCTCCTCGATGGTCGTTGGGACTTTTGCTTGGTGGGTTTGGGCGTACTACTACTCGTCCCTCCACTGCCTCCATTGCTGCCCGCCTTTCGTCGCGACGAGGACATGGTGCCACTGGATTTTTGGCGCTGTGGCGTCGTCCCCACGGCTCCCAATCTTGACAACAATCGTGAATCAGCGGCCGAGAATTGCGACTTGGGGGTGGATGGTACCGATCCGCCTGCTGATTCCGACGCACTCATGCGTCGTCGTTGTGGTTGTGGGACTGCTGGATTCTTTTTGAAGCGTTGCTTCCCCCCGCTGTTAACCCCATCGACCGTTTGACTGCGTCGAAGACCGGCCGGCATGGGTACGCTGGGAGCCGATTCGGGCGGCATCTGTTTGGAGGGCGTAGTGGTAGTATGTACCGATCGTCGCTTCAATCGTCTTGAAATTCGGTGGCTGCTGCTGGTTGCAAAGTCCGATGTAGTATTATTGTTGGTGGTGGCGGTGTATTCGCTGCTATTGTTCATGACAATGGCCCCTTGTTCTTTGGGTGTGGCATAACTGAAACTGCTAGTGACCGAATTGGAGTGTGATTGTGTGGTAGTATCCTTGGTATCCTTACTGGCAATGGTGGAGGTGGATGTATTCTGTGGTTGTTGACTAATGCTCTGCAACAAGCTGGAGGACCCTCCTGCTCCACGGATACTTCCACTGCTGTGTTGTCCAGTCCCCAGTACATCAAAACTGGCATTTGAATCCTGTAGAAAGCGTGAATTGTTGTTGCTGCTACGACTACTGCCGGATCGTATGGATCGTATCGAGCCATGACCCACAGATCCGGGACCCCTTGCTCGGTCAATCGATCCGGGACCCCTGGATCGGTAATTACTGGGAGTGTAGGGATGTGACGAATGGGATTGCCGTCGTGGTGTGGGAGACACACTCCCGGGTGTTTTGGCTCCCACCCCATGTCCCATGGAAACACTGCGCATGGGAGATCTACTTCGGTATGCCGTTGCCGATTGGTTGGCGGCTCTGGCAGCTGGTCCGTGTCCCATGGACACACTCCGCATGGGGGATCGTGATCGACTGTTGTTATGGCTATTGGCCTTGTGCATGACTTGCAAATAGGGCACACTACTGGAATTGGAGCTGTCATTGAGGAGTTGTTGTTGTTGTCGCCCACGTGAGTTTTGGTAGGATCTAGTGTTTTTGCTGTTGGTAGTGTCACTGGGAGGAGGCGTGAGTGGCCTGGAGGAATGTAGACCTGAATCTTCCACAGTAGAAGCCGTACTAGTGGGTGATGATAGCTTGTTGGGTAGGGCAGAACTGGTCATGAGTCGTTCAGGCTGCTGTGCTAGTAGCGTGGATGTCCCCGATGTTGTTCCACTAGCATTGCTGAGCACGGATAGTTTCTTGGACTGCCGTATTCTCCGTGACCTCCTTCGCTGTCGCTTGACTTGTTGCCAGTATAGGGTTAAGGCTAGTTTCCACCGTTCCAGGAGCCCTCCCTTTTGCAAGCAGTATCTAGCTAGTTGGAGTAGTTCGACATGAAAGGCGACGACGAATACGCAAAGGACCGTCAGTATGAACCTGGTGGTAGAGTTGCCTCTGGCTAGATACCTTTCCCATTCGGCTTGAATCCCGGATTGCCAGTCCCGCATGGCAGATTGCAGCAGAGGAAGAACTTGTCGTTGAAACTCGCGGTGGACGACGTTGACCAGAGAGACTCCCTTCTCCGCTAGTGCATTCAAGACGGTCAAACTCACTTGCTGATACGAGCTCGAACCATCGCTGCTACTGCTGCTGCCAGCGCTGTCGCTGTCTCCAATCTCGTCGAGTAGCGTTCGGGATAGACCTTCTGCTCCCGTCGAGGACTCATGGTTGCTGCTACTGCTCATGTTCGTGTAACTGCTGCTGCCGCTTGTGTTATTGTGCCCATGGAAGGTCATGTAGAGGAAAGAGTCGAGTCGAGTCGTTGCGTTGGACGCTGCTCTAGCTAGCTACAAGCAGTGCTCTGGCGTGTCTTGATTGAAGCAGTTTTCTCCCTTGTTCTGTGTTGTCTTCTCTTGGTCGCTTCGCCTTCTTGCTTCGATTCGAAGAGCGGCCTTGGTTGATTGTGCTGTCGCTGCCTTGACGTCAGCCTGCCTTCTCACTTTGTCACAAACGACGCCAAAGATTTAGTCACGTAACGCGCACCTCGAAGAATTTGGTAGGGCGCGCCGTCTTGGGCGGATGCCACTCAGAGACTTAACATGATTTTTCAAGGAACAGTACGATTGGTTAGGGTTCGGACTTAAAAAACGTCTTGCCATTGTCCGTCTACCCCACAAGTCGCCGCCACCAGAACAACGGCAAAGATCCCTTCCTCATTGTTTCTATTGTTTCTCTGTTCCATCATCTCAACTTGTAGTAGCTAACTAAAACCATGGCAAAGCACGAGGAGGACAAGGAAGCCAAGAAGGAAGCCAAGAGGGCCGCCAAGAAGGCCAAGAAAGAAGAGAAGAAGGAACGGAAAAGGGCTGAAAAGGAAGCCAGAAAGAGGGAAAGAGAAACCAAAAAGCAGGAAAAGAGAGCTAGCAGAGAGGAAGAGGATCGCAGTCAGGAGGACACTGACGAGGACAGTCTCACCAAACAACTAGTAGAAGAAGGATATCAGACTCCTCCTCGAAAAGTGGCACGAAAAATTCGTCATGTTCCACTAGTAGATGCATCCTCCCAAACAGCTGAAGCAGGCCAGGACGGTCCATTCTACAAAAAGTGGATCGAAGTTTCCGCGTCCGTAATGCCAGCCGACATGGGAGACATCAAGACCGCCTTGGAGGACAATGTTCGAAACATGATTCTGCAATATATACCAAACCTAGGCATCATGCTCACATTTCACAATCTAAAAGTCATTGCCAATGATGGAGCAGGAATGATTCTGGATGAGCTACCCTTTATTACCTATAAGGTCGGATTTGATTCCTGCGTGTTTGATCCAAAGATTGGAAATAAGGTATGTACTGTAGGGTCATACTGTATATACATCCATACTGTTTGATTTGATACATCTATCTGACCATGCTTTCTTGTTGGTTTGTCATTCATCTATCTACCTATCTATATACCCATACCTATAGTTGCAAGGCACCATCTCGAACTCGTTTCAGTCTCATTTGGCTATCCTCGTGATTGGAAATGTCAACGCCATGATCCCCGCACAGAGTATGCAGCTTGCCGGATACAAATTTGATGTCGATGCCATGGAATGGTCCAAAGATGATGGATCGGATACATTGGTCAAGGACCAAAAGATGGAGTTCTACGTAGACAAGATTCATGCACACATGGGAATCCTGTCCATTGAAGGATCCAAGCTAACCCAGTTTGTCGAGCCTCCTGCTGTTGCCGGATCCAACAGTGATGACTGACTGACTGATTGACTGATGCTTCTAACTAGAAACGTACTTTCTTCTATTTGTTGTGAAAGGCACTTATTAAATGCATTCTTCTATGGTTCGTTGTCTCTTGGGCTGGATGATGATGATGATGTGAAGCATTTGTACCCAGCTCACTTAGTACGATAGTACGGTAGCTACATCGTTATCCATGGGTTGCTGACTGGTTCCCATGCCAGCATTCTAAAAAATGGCTTTTTCCAAAAACATTTATAAATCTACGTGTACTGTATTCCAACTGGCATTGTGCGTTTGCTTGTTTGCTATTGCTATTGGTTTTGGTAGATTGGTTCCACTCTCGACGGCCGTTTCAGAAACGCGTCATCGACCTCTTTGAGCGGTTCGCGCCAGGGCGTTGGCACTTGCCAGTGCTTGTTCTTGTCCTTCTTCTTGGCGCTGCCAGTACCACTACTAGTAGTAGTACCAACATTGGGATCGTTGGGATGTTTCCAATTCCAAAAGAGCTTTTGCTTCTTGTTTTTCTTTTTCGTTGTTGGACTACTCGACGAATCCTTTTGTTTGGTGGATGCGGATCCGGCGTGAATATGCCAGCTATGAATCACGGAACAGCCATTGGCATCGTGAACACGGTACAGATTACTGGCCGATAACAATGCATGCAGGGCGGCATTTTCGGCCCCCATTTCGTTCATGGGGAAAAAGGCAGTTCCATTGGGACGTCCGTGCGCCGATGTCAAGACGCCGCGTCGAAAGGCATCGGGCTGGAGTTTGCCAGCAATCAATGTCCGTGTAAAGACGTAGCCATCCCAGGATGTTGGTTGGCCTTGTCCATTTTGGCACCATGGAAACAAGTGTGTATTGTTGGGCAAGGAAGATTGAGTGGTGGATGCCGATGCTCCTTTTGCGGCGGGACCATGGGCAAATTGGAAAAAGGCTCGAATTCGTGTCGGTGCTCGATGTGGTTGGTATCCCTGTGTGGGAATGGTAAGGAGTGTTCGACTCTTGATGAGTGTGGCCCATTGAACGGTATCATCAAATGCTTGATCGGCATTGGCCAGGACGACCACTTCACTCTTGACAATTTTGGGGTTGGTGGCATAGGTGAACATTTCATAATAGTTGGGTTGTGGTTTCTTTCGATCGATGCAAATGAGTTTGTGCCGGGTAATGGAGTTTTTGGGCAATAGTCCTCGCATGTTATTGGAGGTGGTCCAGAATCGGAATTTCATTTGAAGTTGTTTCATTCGTTTTTGAAAATGGGTGCAATTGGACTGCTTGGTGACAGAATCGAGAATGACAATTACATGATCAAAATGTGGATTGTAGAGGTTGTTGGCAATGGACGCTAAAACTTCGGATCGTTGAAGATCTTCTTCCTCTTCCTCTGGTAGTGCCCAAACGCTGGTGACCAAGGAAAGTGATTTGCGTTTGATTTTTGCCCATTGTTGGAATTTGGTCTGATTCATCAGGTTTTTATTAGTAGTAGTGAGTGGCTGTTGTAGCGTGTCTGTCTTTGGATCCTCATTATCAGTGTTATCACCACTACCAGTAACAGAAGTAGTCTCAGTCTTCTTTGTGCTTGAGGAAGTGCTGGTCTTTTTGGATGTTTGTTTCGTTGGAACCGTGCTACTAGTAGTAGAATTATTGGTACTACCGGTAGTAACAACGGCAACTTCCGTGTCTTGCCTCGGGAGTGAAGGATCAGCGACAAAAAACTTGAGCTCTTTTTGGTGCAGCACTTCAGTAATGAAGGATCCAACAGCCATGCAGAACACGGCAGCTACCGTCAGACCAAACACCTGCTTGCGGCTAAAACCAGCAATACTACCGGTACTACTAGAAGAGCTGCGACTCCCATTGGTAGCGTTGTTCTTCGTCATCATCTTGGTTTGACTAGCCTAACTGATCGTGTATCTAATAGCTAGTGTGTCTTTTTAAAAAAGCGTGGGAGGTGGGAGGGTAGCGTTGTAGCGTTGCGAAATGCGCACCAGCTGCACCAAGCAGCCGCTGCGGATCTTCATTTTTTGGTGCTGTACCGGTTACAATGACTTTGGGATGCCACCACGTACTAATACGTTGATTTTTTCCGGAACATGTACGTACAATACATGTGCCGGTAAACGACAGAGTACAGTACTTTGTTGACCTCACCGTCCTTGAAGACCATGATAGCAGCATTCTCCCTTTGCATGGATACCGGTCTGTACTTCTTTTTGACAGAGAGCGGCGGTGCATCGATGAGTGGGGAGACGCGTCTAGCTAGCAGTATTTCCGTGGAATGTAACCGTACATGTTGTAGGAACCTGTTTGGCAACCGTCCGGCCGTCCGGTACCATAACTGAAAAGGAGCAGCGATTGACTAGCTATGCCTGAAAAGCAAAGGCTGCATCCGCTCACTAAAGTGGATGCATATTATTGCAAGACACCACCGGTTCTCACCGAACCCTGGAAAGAAAAGTGGACCATTACAATGAGGAACGTCCTATGGTACTGGTATCCTCACAGCTGCCGGTAAACTAGTAGGAAGAAGCGCTTCCATTTCATGAGCAAGGTCATGACGGACGAGACCTTTTGCCAACAAGCAATCCTGATGCACGTCACTCCGTTCAACGACACCCTCCCAGAAGTAAACGAACTTGCCCACAATCTACTCGATTCGATTAGCTACGGACAAATGGACGAACACTTTCCCTCCTCCCTCCGAGGGTTCGTACTCCAGTCGAAGGTGTCCTGTTGCCTTCCAACCCCCCACAACTGGGGAAGGACATTGCCGACAGTGGGGCCTCGCCTTCGTCTGTCTTTATTTGAAAGTTACGGTTTGTCGGAACTCATTCCTCAGGTACTCAACGAGATCTCCAATAAAGATAACTTTGCTCCAGAGATCCCCTTCCGTGTAGATATCATGATGACTATAACACCGCGTTTCCCCTGGGCGGAATTTCATAATGGACATTCCTTTGGCGTCAAACGTTTCTGTAAATTGGATCAAGTTCCAAAGAAATTCCTTTTGAAAGGATCCACTCATTCTCCAATAACACATATACGTGTTCGTGTCCCCTTGATACACTTCGTCCTCAATGACAAACTTGTAGTCGTCCTTGACAAATTGAAATAGATTGCTCAAAAAGTACGATAGACGTTCTTTGCCTTGTATGGTAAAGGAAGGCTCTTGGTAGATGGCATCGTCCGTCCAAAGATCTACCACTTCTTCCCAATCGTCTTTTCCAACAACCATTAGTCGTCGTGCATTTTCCATACGGGCCTCTTTCAACCTCAATTCTTCCGACAAGGACGACGCGGTCATCTTCAGTTGCGTCGATACAATGACATGATGTCCTCTTCCAACAGTGAATGCGTGTACATGACTACATGTAATGCATAACCAGCAGAGGATTGTTGGCACTACCAAGAGCGTATTCATTCTTCGTCTTCTTTTCGAGGGAGGAGGGAGGGGACGGCGAAGATACATACATGTACTGTAGACGACAATGATGTGTGGGGAGGCTTCAAGTTGCGCCAGGATACCTGTACCATGGTACCATTCAGTCTTGGATACTGTTGATTGATCCGATTGATTCCCGATAACTGTTAAGCCAGTCAATCTGTTATTTCTTTCGAATGAATCTCCTGGAGGCCTGAGTTGTTGGCGCGACACAAGTTGACAGTAACTGTTGACAACCAACATTGGGCAGTACCGGTGTATCGGTACATGTATTATAGCAACCAGTAGCGTTCTCGAGTAGCTTTAGCTAACTACTCGTAATAGCTACTGAGTGGCTAGCTACAAGGACGGATTGTGGATTGGTTTGCTTCCTACCGTCATCCTGGAATGAATCAAAATTGTACCACGGAAGCCTTTCACATGGCTTCATTATTGCTCCTGCGGTACTAGTTAGTAGGCAGGAGAGCACTCCAGGCCGTGACTACCAACCCATGAGGTGCCTGGCTCCTCCTTGGCGAATCCCGGATCTGAGGAGGGCGAGGACTTCTCATGGCAATTATTTAAAAATTTTCGTCGTAGACATTTGTTGGTTGGCCCGCAACTAGTAGTGTCAAAATGCATTGATTCTAACATGTATGCATTTATGTACGCATGTATGTATGTAGGTATGTACAGTATAGTAGGAAGAATTGGAAGATGTAGCTCCTTGCTTATTGTTCGGTACTACCAAGAAGGACATCTGGTAGAGGGTATTTGGCCCGTCGATATGGCTGTGGAACCCGCGAGGGTGTCTCTGGATTGTCCCAGTATGCCTCATCCACATTGTGTGCTCTCATCTTTTTTGCCCCGTGAAAGTGCCATGTTCGAATGAGGGAACAACCATTGGCATCCCGCGCCGATGGCACATGCGCAAGCAGAGCCCACAACCCGGCGTTCTCTCCTCCCGATTCATTCATTTTGAAGAATGCCTTGCCAGAGGTTGTGTTGGTTTTGAAATGGCGCATAAAGTCTTGTGACGCCAGCTTGCCTTGAATGAGTTGTCGGTAAAAGACGTAGCCATCCCAGGAGGTTTGTGTGGTGGACTCGCTGCAACGATTGGCAACAATTTTGTTGGCGACTTTTTTGGCCTTTCGTGAGGTGCCGCTGTGGATGTATTTGTAGTACTTTTGTACCTGCGTGGGTACACTGGTTCGGTTGTATCCCCACGTGGCCAGTGTGAGGACCGTGTTGGGTCGTATGCGCTTGGCTTGTTGGGCCGAGTCATCAAATGCTTGATCGGCATTGGAAAGAATGACAATGTCACTTGTGACAATGGTTGGATCGGTGGCATAGGAGAACATTTCGTAGTAGTTGGGTTGTCCCAACGGTCGGTCCACACATGTGAGCTTGTCTTGTGTCGAGTTTCGATGGCCCAGGCTCCAGCGACTGGTAAAGCCTGTTTGGAGGGTATCCATGCTCTCTTGGAAATGTGAGCAATTGCCATCTGTAGAAGACCCATCCAGTATCACAACAACCTGGTCCAAGTGTGGATTGTGGATGTTACTGAGTAGGGCGGCTTGGATTTCTTTCCGATGGAGACTGGCTTCTTCGTCAGGAGACTGAGCCCAAAAGCTGGTTATCAAAGAGACTGTTGGACTGTCACTGTCACTCTTATCATCGCGAGCCCCAGCTGATGTACCGCTACTACCAGTAAGAGTAGCAGATAACGTCAGCTTTGTATTGGAAGGTGATGTAATGTCTGCTGTGATACCGCTACTAGTACCAGTACCGGTACTACTAGTAACCACCTTTACATTCGTGGCTACCAATACTACCCAGGAATAAACTCCAACCATGGCCATCACGAAGATTCGTCTAATCATGGAGGTTCCAGAGATATTAATACCGTTCCACGCCATCGTCTTCATCATCATCACAATAATAATAAGGATACTGTATGGTCGCGACCTCTTGATCAAATGAAGAATTGAATTCAATCATAAGCGATTGCAAGCTCCAGCGGTTCCGCTCCAAACTCCAAAGACGATGCTGACTCGGCTCTGCCACCAAATCTCTCTGAGTTCTGACCACGCACAACCAGTCAACGTTCGTCGTGCAGTTTTCAAGCCATTGGTACTACTGAGCTACTGAGTGCGCACTGCCACTATTATAGTACTTGGTACGGTAGCTGGTCTGGTACTCATATATATTATGATCAGTAACTAGCTAGTATGACATAATGTGAGATGCCCGCAAATAAAGTTCCAGAACCGAACGCCTTGGCTTTGGTCCGCGCTTCTGCCTGGATCAAGGGAACTTGGATTTTTAAAAGTCACGTATTAATTAATAAAGCCACCGTACCGTTCTGCATTCTGGGCTTCTGCCGTTGTTGTGAACCGGTACGAAACAGCTCACGAAACGCAACAGGGAGGATTTAGGGGAAGCTAGCTAGGGGAGGATATTCGGAATTATAGATCGGCAAGGAAATCCCGTACCGTAGCTTTTGTTCCAGTGATCCAGTGCTGTGAGGTGTGAGGCGTACTCAGTATGCATTTTAAAATAGTATTAATTGCAGAAATGCAACGTGATCATGATTTAAACCAAAAGGACAGATCACTGTCTTATGGTGTTCTGGCTACCGGTAGCTAGAGGACCACTTCCTACGATGTACCGGTACATTCAGGATCACTGGATCCTGACATACTGACACAATAAGTACTAGTATTATTGGATGGAGATAAAGCCATTGATCGAAGGAGTACTAGCTAGTACTCGAGTAAAAGAGTTCTCGTGTACAGCTTATTGCCAGTGGAAACTGGGATGGAGCCACTGGTATCGGTACCAGTACCACTGCTCCACAAAAACCTACTAAATACTCGTATGTATTATGTATGTATGCATTGCTGTGCTGACCTTGGACCTGTAAGGTATTCGCGCGAGCTCTGAATACAACTTTTGCTCTTCTTTTCTCACGGCATTAGATATTGCTTCGGAGGAGTCACTTGTTTGACCTCTCCGGGACATTCTTTCAACTTCTTCCACGCTCCCCCATTATTGCACCTGGTCCAGAAAAAAAGGGCATTGACGAATTGACGACCCCTGTTGTTCATTTCTCGATTGAAGCAGACGAGATGGCCATGACGAGGAACGAGCAGGTTGCGTTTAGCCCTCGTGGTACAATCAAGAAACGATTCTTTGCCATGGCTTTGGTGGGAGTTTGCTTGGTTTGGGTTGGCTTGATCATCACGGATGTGAATGTCATGAGAGGCGCCGTCATGACAGCAACCGCTGCCAATCAAGAAGAGAGCGGGACAGTAGGTGCTAACAATACTGGCACTGCCAACGTTGATGGAAACACAACCAGGTGGTCCATGCTGGCTATGGATGCGTTTGTTGCCGGGAGCAGTGTTCCTCGAAAGCCGTACTCAAGAATCCTGGATTCTACAGCGGATTTGCAAACCACCGCCGAGGCTGACACAACCGAAGCAAAGGCTCCCAGTGCCAAAACAATCTCCTTAGTTACCAGTTTCTTTGCGGATGCACTAGTACAAGAGGACCCGCATCCACATCTGGCTGAGATTCAAGCATCCATTCTCAACAACCTTCACAATCCATACTTTGATCAGCTGGTAGTCATTCTCGATGGTTCTTCCAGTCAGTCGAACTGCACTACGTTCTACGATCGTATTGGAGTACTGCAGAGACAATATGCAAAGTACTGGAAACTTATGGATCGCCATCCAAAGATAGTCAAACCGTCTCTGACCTGTGTTGATCGCCCTGAGTCACAACCCAACTATTATGAAATGTTCACCTATGCCACCGACCCAAACATTGTCACTGGTGACATCATTGTTCTCTCCAATGCGGATCAAGCATTTGACGATACAGTCGGAGAGGTCAAACGGATCAATTCAACACTGTCCTCACACTTGCCACTTGGGGATACAATGAAACACTGGCACCAGAATCCATGAAACGTCACTTTAAATACGTCCATCGCAAACCCAAGGTTTCTAGAACAGGCATTGCCGGTCGCTGTGGGGCTACAACACCATCTTGGGATGGGTATGTCTTTCACAGGTTGCTCGTGCAAGGCAAGCTGCAACCACAAGACTTTATGCGCAACACACTTACAGAGTCAGGCAGGGCATTCTTCAAGATGAATGAATCTGGTGGAGAGAATGCTGGTTTATGGGCACTCTTGGCACAAATCCCTGAAGCCAATGATGCCAATGGCTGTGCACTCGTGAGAACATGGCATTTCCACCATGCCAAAAAGATGCATGCACACAAAACGGATGAAAAGTACTGGGATAACCCAGAATCACCCTATCGAGTTCCAAAACCACATCGGCGGCCTACAGTTCCACTAGACCAGGTCCTCTTGAAGGCAGCAACGTTATAGAAAACCTTCCACGCACCAAACGCTTTCCCACTGTGTTTCATGCCATTGATGTATCAATTCTGCAAGAGCAATGTAATCAAATAATGTTGCTCAGTACATCATGTTCAAATACCCACGCGCTGCCACAACTCTGCTGACGATGTAGGGCAAAGCAACACAGCGTGACACTACCGGTGGGTGTGTACGGTGACGAGACAGGCGTCTTCTGGCTGGCTGTTTCTCGTGCTGCACCCTCCTCATGGTGGAATTTTTTCGTGCCACATTGCCGATGGTGTCACTCGACTCGCTAGATCTTCCAAGCAAAGTTACGTACCGGTACGGCACTTTATCTCAGCAGATATAGGTACTGTACCTTGTTCCTTCTCGACGCGTGCATGCAGCTCTGGCAAAGCTCAAATAAATAAACAAATGAAGGCCCTGGACGCAACAAGCAACAAAGCATCTTCCGATTCGATTCATCGTTCGAAACCAATCTACATGTACTACGAGTACTCTATGCATGAGAATCTGATGCTCTAGAAGATGGCACTCTGCTTGACGACAAAAGCGTGGCTGTTGAAGGGAGTATCTGGTCGCGACACCCTGGGCATTGATAGGTACTCTCGGTACAGCACAGTAGCCTGGTTCCAACTGTATGGTACCGGTACGAGCGCACGCAAAGGCAAGCATTCCTTTCGAAACGACGTGCTGCCCTAGCGAGGATTGCTTGTAATAAAAAAGTAGTAAACTATAATACAGTACATTCGTGAGAGAAGGCTTGAAAGCATACCGCAAGGACTTCAATAGTGTTGCAAGGAGTCGAGTCGAAGTGACAGTCGAATCGAGCTGCATTGGCGCTATCCCCGTCGCCGCGCAGCAGTAAGATTTGATTTTCGGGCTCCATCACTGCTGTCGTTTCTTTTTGCTTGCTCCCATTGTGGTTCCCAGTACAGTAGACTACAGTACGCTTGAGTCCCCACGTGCCCGTACCACTACTTGTATTGTGGTACGGTCATGCCGACGGCGCCACTGACGGAGTTCACGTAACCATGACAACATTCATGGATATTTCCTTGACAATGTTGTACTCGTAAAAGGCACTGGCCGTGACATCAATACTCATAGTGGGACAAGTGTTGCTGCTATTGTTGTTGATGGGCAGTATATCGTTTTCTCGTGTCAAGAAGGAACGTAGTACGTGTCGATGATGCGAGAGGATCATGAGCGGCCCTAGTACAATTCGGGGCGCCGGCTGTGTTGATTGTCGTGGTACGATAGGCAATTCCGCGAAACCTTAGGGCTGATCGGCGATTGTCATGTGGTTGCCAGCCAGTCATTCCTTATTGCTGGACTGGCTCATTGCTGGACTGGCTCATTTGCATCCGCCAGAGACTGGATGAAAAAGGCATTACTGTAATGCGTGTCCTTGGGGACCTCCCCGTAAGGCATTGGCACTCGCATGGGATCTTTTCCGCCCCACAAATGCGCCTTTTGTTTGCTGGTGGCGTGCATCTTGGGTGCCGCGTGAATGTGCCACGTTTGGATGGCATTGCATCCATCCGTGGCATATGTTTCGTTGGGTAGATTGTGCAAGAGGGCCCACAGAGCGGCATTTTCACCTCCCCCATCGTTCATTTTGAAATAGTCTCGGACGTAGGTCACATTGGATGCTGTGGTAGTATTGTTGTTGTCGGAAGATGATACGATCGTGATGTTCTCCTTGACAATATCCGTGTTTCTCATAAAGTCATCTGGTCGAAGTCGTCCCCGGACAAATGTGCGATGAAAGACGTATCCATCCCAGGAACTGAACCGGCCATTGCAGCGTCGTGGAACATGGAATTTATCGACCGTGGTATCGTGTCGTACATAGGAGAAAACTTCCGAGACACTTTGCGGTGCCTTTTTGACTTCGTATCCCCAAGTGGGCAGCGTCAATACCGAAGAGTAATGGAGATGCTGGGCCCACTGAACCGTGTCATCAAATGCCTGGTCTGGATTGGCCAGAATGACGACGTCACCAGTGACAAGGTTGGGATCGGTGGCGTATTGGAACATTTCATAGTAGGAGGGTTGTGACTCTTTCCGCGTAATGCAGCGGAGTTTGGCCGCAATTTGTTCTTTGGAAATGTCATGACTACTGGAGGAGGGTGGTACTACTGTCAGGTTAGCATGTTGTTGTTGTTGTTGTTCATGCTTCCACTGTACAAAGCGTTGTTGCATTTTTTGCATTTTGTGTGAAAATTGTTGACAAATGTCTTTGATGGGTGCGGAATCTAGAATGACGACCATTTGATGAATGTATGGATTTTGCAGATTGTGTAGAATGGCAGCTGGGATTTCGTTCGTGTGATTGTTGGGGTTCCCCTTGGAGTTGGCCCGCACGGCACTGGCCCAGAAATTGGTCACCAACGTCACATTAAAGACAGTTTTACTTCCAAAAGTGGGAGTGTCGTGATTATTTGGCACGGTTGTATTTTCTCCCACAAGAGCAGCACTGTCCAGTTCAGCCTTGACTTCAGGCTGACGACTGAGTTCAGCCTCAGTCTTGACCTGAGTCTCAGCAGGCGAAGCTTCTGGCTGAGGTTCAGGATCAGCCTTGGCTTCATCCTCAGCTTTACGTGCAGGTACAGCCTTTGGTGGTTCTTCTATCTTTTTACTGGTGGTCGTTGCAGTGCTGCCTATGTCAGCTTCAGTTGTTGCTTCAGCTTCAGTAGCTTCAGCCTTGGCTTGGGTAGCTTCAGTTTGAGCCACAATATCGACTTTATTTTGCTGATTCAATTTATCCTTATTCCGCAGTGATGATGATGATGTCGTCACTGTCTTGTTTGTGTAGACTGCTGTGACTCCCCTGGCCGTTATCAAAAATCCTTGTTGGAAGACGCTTTGTTCTCTGGCAAACAGATTCATCAACACCAGACTCATTAGGACCAAAAACACAAACATATACGAGTTTGACGGCTGACGAAGCCGGCTCATTGACATGTTGACAGGTGGACTGGATGAACTTGGAGGAGGAGGAGTGAGGTTCATGGTTGTCCTCTGAGCGAAAGACTGCGAAAAATGAAGACGAACAGTCACGACGGTTTTGCGGAAATGTCCCAATGACTGACAAATGACCTGTCCGTTTTGTTCTCACAGCCTTGCTGGCTCATATCCATTGGCCTTCCAGAATTTCGGTGGCTCTCCAACAATGGGCGTTCCGTCCGCTTGTCGATTGGGGTTTGACACGGCCGTCACGGGATGCGTGCGATCCGGATCGAAGACGAGTGCCCGAGTGCCCGAGTGCAAAAGTAAAAGGCTCTTCGTCGGTGCGACCCGCTCCGACTGTTTCCGTACCAGAAAATGGGACTTGATTGCTGCCCGACACGGCCGGAACCGTACAACCCGTCTTGAGCAGTTGCGGACAAAAGGTTACCTTTTCCAGGCAATACTACAGGGCGTGGTTGAACGCATCCAACAGTGAACCCTCCAAGTCCATGCCTCGTTTCAACGCAAACACTGCCAGGCTATTGAACACGGCGGCTTCGCGTAACATGTCAAAGTACGCTGCCATTGTAACTACTAGCTAGTAGTAGAGAGTATAGTAGCTGCTCACTCTGCGGTCACACAGATGTACCTAAATTATCCTGGCGAAGTCCGTGTGTCCATGTGTACATGTAGCTGCTTGACGTTTTCTCGAGCAAAAGAAAAGAAGCCCCCAGGAAGTTGCTAGGGACAAACCCTTCTGGTCATCTCTTTCACGTCTACTTACTCGTAGGTAAATGTCTTTGGTTTCTCCTATGATAGTTTCTTCGTCCAGCTGACTGTCACTCGACTCCCTCCAATGGCAAATGTGAGTGGAAGTTTTTACATCCAGGAAACCAATGACACTGGTTGGATGTTTTGATGCGTTTGGTTGACTTTTGATTTCTCGTCTACCAGTTCGACTTCCCTAGCCTAGCTACCAGGTAGCCTAGCTAGCTAGAAGGAGTTGGTGGGTTCCAAAAACTGGTGCAAACTGAGATGGATTCCGGTTCGGCAGTGGTTGCAGAACCATTTGGGGGCCGGTTCTGTTGATTGTCTGCGGAACCTGTGGCCTAATTGGCGATTATCATATGGTTGCCAGCCAGCCATGACTTGCCGTAATATTGCTTATTGTTGGACTGGCTCATTTGCTTCCGACAGAGACTTGATCAAAAAGGCATTACTGTAATGCGTGTTCTTGGGAAGCTTCCCGTAGGGCATTGGCACTCTCATGGGATCTTTCCCGCCCCACAAATGTGCCTTTTTTTTGCTGGTGGCATGCATCTTCGGTGCCGCATGAATGTGCCACGTTTGGATGGCGTTGCATCCATCCGTGGCGTAGGTGTTGTTGGGTAGATTGCGCAAGAGGGCCCAGAGAGCGGCATTTTCCCCTCCCCCATCGTTCATTTTGAAATAGTCTCGGATGTAGGTCACGTTGGATGTTGTGGTAGTATTATTGTTGTCGGAAGATGATACGATCGTGATGTTCTCTTTGACAATATCTGTGTTTCTCATAAAGTCGTCCGGTCGAAGTCGTCCCCGGACAAACGCACGATGAAAGACGTATCCATCCCAGGAACTTAAACGGCCATTGCATCGTGGTGTAATATGGAATTTGTTGACAGTGGTATCGTATCGTACATAGGAGAAAACTTCCGAGACACTTTGCGGTGCCTTTTTGATTTCGTATCCCCAAGTGGGCAGCGTCAATACGGAACTGTAATTGAGATGCTGGGCCCACTGAACCGTGTCATCAAATGCCTGGTCTGGATTGGCCAGAATGACCACATCGCCAGTGACAAGGTTGGGATCGGTGGCGTATTGGAACATTTCATAGTAGGAGGGTTGTGACTCTTTCCGTGTAATGCAGCGGAGTTTGGCAGCGATTTGTTCTTTGGAAATGTCATGACTACTGGAGGAGGGTGGAGGTAGTGTCAGGTTAGCATGTTGTTGTTGTTGTTGTTTCCACTGTACAAAGTGTTGTTGCATTTTTTGCATTTTGTGTGAAAATTGTTGACAAATGCCCTTCATGGTGGCAGAATCAAGAATGACAACCATTTGATGAATGTACGGATTTTGCAGATTGTGTAGAATGGCGGCTGGAATTTCGTACAAGTGATTGTTGGGGTGCCCCTTGGAGTTGGCTCGCACAGCACTGGCCCAGAAATTGGTCACCAACGTCACGTTAAAGACACTTCTTTTGGAAAGAGCAGTCCTGTCCGGGTCAGCCTTGGATTCAGCCCCAGTAATCGAAACTTCAGGCTCAGGTTTAGGTTCAGTAGTCGAAGCTTCTGGCTTAGCCTCAGCCTTGGCTTCAACTTTAGGTTCAACCTTTGGTTCTTCTATCTTTTCAGTGGGGATCGTGGTAGTGCTGCCTGTGTCAGCTTGAGTTGTTGCAGTGTTAGCTTGCTTCTTGGCTTGGGTGGCTTGAGTAGCTTGAGAAGCTTGAGTTTTAGCCATGAAATCTTCCACAATCTCAAATTTAGTTTGCTGATTCAAGTTATCACTATTCCGCAGTGATGATGATGATGACGATGATGTCGTGACTGTCTTGTTTGTGTAGACTGCGACTCCTCTGGCCGTTATCAAGAATCCTTGTTGGAAGACGCTTTGCTCTGTGGCAAATAGATTCATCAACACCAAACTCATTAGGACCAAAAACACAAACATATAAGAGTTTGATGGCTGACGAAGACGGCTCATTGACATGCTGACAGATGGACTGCCTGAACTTGGAGGAGGAGGAGGAGTGCCCTTCATCATCGTCCTCAGTATTTTCTATGAGGCGACAGTTGTGTGTGACGGTACCAGTAAGAGCCCACAGGAAAAAATGAAGACGAACAGTCACGACGGTACTGTACCGCGGATTTGTCCCAGTGACTGGCAAATGACCCGCCGTTTTTGTTCTCACAGTTATGCTGGCTCATATCATTTTGGGCTGGATCTCGATTCTCGATCTCGGCAGCAACAGTTCGAGGAAGGGAACAAGACGCTCGTCACCAAGGATGCGATTAGATTAGCTGCCACCCGGTTCTGGTACCGGTACCGGTGCTCCTGTCATCGCTCTGCGTTTGGATGCGTTGTTTCGAACTCTCGGCCTTTTGTTTTCACAGCATTGCTGGCTCATGACCTTCGCTGCGGATATGCATTATTATTTTACAATGACAAGACCAACGGTCATTGGCGACCCCGACCTCAGTCTATCCGTCACTCTTTGCTGAAGTCGTACCAGTACCAGTACCGACCGTATGCTAGCTAGCCAGAAGAGTAGGATTGAATCAATCATCCACCCACTGTGGTAGTCAACCGAAGGGGAAGCACAGCACAGGTGCAGCAGCAACGGACAGCAAGCACGACAACAGAAAGAGATCATGGCTTCCAAGAGAGATGTCAAGAGGAGAAAGAAGGAATGTGAGGACCGGTTGCATAGTGAGAGCACTGAGACTCTGATCGAGAGGGAAGATGAGGCATCCATGCACTGCTTGCCGCATGCAGCGAAATATTTCCGCAAAGCATGGGATGGATTTCTTCAGCGCAAGGGAACAACTAAGCTCCCAAAGAAACCTTGGATGGAGACTTCATGTATGAAAGTGAACAGTAAGCAGAACCGCATGATGGTGCATATGAATGGCTATACAAAAACCTGGTCCATTAAATTTGTCATGATGCATGGCAGCAACAACCCATGCAAGCAGAACTCGCGTGACTCAGTTGACTCAATTTGCCGCACTGAAGACTGTATTGTACCAGACCACCACCGATGGCTCCCCTGGCGTGAACAAACATACAGACAATGTTGTGGTGCCAACTTAATGTGCTGTGCCTGTCATAATGAAATTCCGTTCCCATGCTCTCATGATCCTCCATGTCCATGGAGAGTTCTTTCCAATCAAGGCTGTGATGGCTGCAAGGGGGCTGATGATACCAGAAAGGAGACTTTTGGATCTGCCAACTCATCATCAACAACTGCAAGAACCCCCCAGACTACCAGTACTGCTCCGGTTGCCATTTCACCAACAAGCAACAACAAGAGAAAGAATGTGGAACTGGAGGGAGAAGAATCACCTGCCAAGAAAACCATTACTAAAACAGACAAAGCTTGTAAGCAGTTTAGATCCTCCAAAAAAGCCAGAACCAAAACCAAAACCAAAACCAAGGACAAGAATGTTGCTGGTAAACTGTCCCATTTGGACAGCCAAAGCCTGCCTCATGTTGAGAAGGGCTTCCATGAAGCTTGGGTTGGGGCTGTCAGAAAATATGGAACCATAGAGTTGCCAAGGAAATCATGGATGAAGACGCATTGCATGAAACTGAACTGCAACATTAAATATGCCAGTGTGCTCGGACATGGCCAGGGCTGGCATCTTTCCACTGTGATGATGCGTGGCACCAACATGCCTGTCAAACTTGGTCGCAATGATACAGTTCACTCCATTTGCCACACGCTAGGCTGTGTCATTCCCAACCATCATCGCTGGATGCCCAAGCAAGAAAAATTGTCCAGGCAGTCCTGTGGGGCCAGCCTAATGTGCCCCACATGTCATGTCAACATCCCTTTGCCCTGTTCGCATGATCCCCCTTGTGAATGGAGGATTGTTTCAAGAGAGAATTGTTCTGCCTGTAAGATCCAAGAGTAATGCAGAATTGCAAGTGGTGCACGGATGGACGCAAAACTATTTCCATTTGCGTCCGCCCGCATGTCAAAGCCTTCTGCTAAAGAAACCTGCTCTGACTGTCACAGTGGCAACAGGAATGAAGAGTGAACATGATATTTGTGTGTAGTTGTGCAAAGAAGAAGGCATGAACATGTAGGTTATCTGGCCGGGTGGACCCGCTAATGAAGAGCAGTCAAGACGGCATCATACAGGGATGCGATCCCCAGCTTCAGTAGTTTAGTTGCATACACGCACTGGTTTCAAATTGCGGAAATGTGGGTTCTTGGCGACCGATGCTCCCGTATGACAACGCTTGTTGTACAGAAGACGCAATCATAGTCAGTCACTGGTGGATGCGGAACCGTCGCAAAAAGAATGTTCAATCCCTGCTGTAGGGCTTGCAGTTTGCTTGCGCAACAGGGTCGCCCCTCGTGTTGGGCCTTGACACAGCCACGAGAATCGAGTGACTCGGTCTCCGGGCGACAACAGCCACCGTAACTGCCAAGGCACCTCAGCGATAGATCAACCAGCAGTCTAGGAAAGCTCATTTCTCGACGTGGTGGCTATCTGTACTGCGCTGTGTTCATCTCGACGGCTTCACATCGATCGACACGCCGAATTATCTTTAAAAAGTCCGTCAAAGAGTCATGCAAAAACGGGGTGTTCGTTCTATAGGTTACTGGCTCCCTTTGCTCTACTAGACCAGGATTTCTGGTTCGACAGGGTAGAGACCCTTAAACCATTTGGAGGCTCGTCTCGCGGGTTCTGGGACAACAGTTTTCCTAATCTTTGGGTCCTCGTGGTACCAAAGAAACTTTCGTTGTGTCTTCCCATCAATACTTTGATCGACCTTGTTATCGGCGTGCATCTTCTCGGCAGCATGGAAATGCCAACCCCTGATTACTTCGCAAGTTTGAGCATGGAAGGCTTCTGGAATGTTCATTATCAACGAGGCAAACCCAGCATTCTCGGCACCCTGCTCGTTCATTTTGAACATTGCAGTCGAGTTGGTAATGTTCACTCTCTTACCCTTTTCGTTTAGATCGAAGAGAAAGCTGGGTCGCACAAAATCCTCTTCCTTGATTCTACCTCGAATCAGCGCGGGATGAAAGACGTACCCATCCCACGACGATGAAACGCTCTTGCACTTGTTGGGCATTGGGCTTCGCTCGAATGCCCTCTTGACGTTGTCGACTTTGCTGACGTTGGGCAAATGCGAGAATTCAAAGTAGTTGGTAATCGACTTGGGAGCTGTTGCTTTGTCATATCCCCAGCTTGGCAAAGTCCCAATAGCTTCGTCCTTGATTTTGCCCGCCCATTTGACAGATTCATCGTAAGCTTGATCAGCATTGGCCATGAGGACAACGTCACTGGTGATGATTTCTGGATCACTGGCATAGGAGAACATCTCAAAGTAATTTGGCTGTCCTTGTTCACGATCGACGCAAGTCAGCTTGGAAGAAACTATTTCTGGACCATTGTCGGTACCGCTGTTGTTCCACTTTTGGAACTGAGCTTGTAGGTCTTGCAGCTTGCGCTCAAAAGTAGCACAGTTGGCTTTCGATGAAGACCCGTCCAAGATGACAACAACTTGGTTGAAATGTGGATTGTTGATGTTGTTCAAGAAGGCCATCATAGTCTCAGCTAGATGCGGATGTGGCTGTTCTTTGGCGAGAAGGCCACTGGCAAAGAAACTTGACACCAATGAGACGGTTCCTTCTGCAGCCTTCGTACTGGTCTTGGCCGCGCTTTCGTTGGTCCTACGGACCGCTGCCGATTTGTCAGCGTCCTCACCTTCCACAGTATCCGAAATCGTGGAAATGTCACCTTCCTCCTTTTTGGTTGCACCCGACATTTTCGTTTGCGGCACGTTCTTGACGACAAAGGCATCTGCAATGGGATGACCCGCCGTACGCCATGGTCGTGGGACGGCCCGCAACTTGTTCTTGCCCTTGCCCTTGAAATGCCAATAGTCGGCCTTTTCGTGGACATGCATGTTGGCGAGTCCCCCGTGAAAGTGCCACATTTGAATGACCGAGCAGCCAACGGCATCCTTGGCATCCGGGACATTTTGCAGCAGCGCATACAGAGCGGCATTTTCCGCTCCCACTTCATTCATGACAAAATAGTCTTGTTTCGGGTCGTCCACGACTGTATACCGCATAAAGTTGTCGGATTCCAAGTGCCCGGCAATGAGTTTGCGATGAAAGACGTATCCATCCCACGATTTTTCTCCTTCGCTGCATCTAGAGACAGCTCCTTCCTGGAACATTTTGGCATCCTTTCCACCATGGACGAACTTAAAGTATTCCTTGGTGAGTTGTGGCACCTGTTTCTTGTCAAATCCCCAGGTTGGCAGTACCAGGACTGCGTCATCTTTGATTTTGCCGGCCCATTGGACAGTGTCATCAAAGGCTTGATCGGCATTGGCCACAATGACCACATCGCTGGTGACAATTTTGGGGTCGGTGGCATATTTGAAAATCTCATAATAATTGGGTTGTTTCTCTTCCCGGTCGATGCACGTAAAGACGGGCAATTTCTCTTTTTTGTTGGTTTCGTAGGCTGTCTTGACATACCCTGGCATTTTGGCCACGACGTCGGCTTCCAACTCGTCCAATTGGGTCTGTAAATGTGTGCAATTGGCATCTTTGGTAGCCCCATCCAAAATGACGACAATTTGATCCAAGTATTGGTTGTTCCGGTTGTTGACCATGGCCGCTTGTATTTCGAGTCGATGCAAATTATTTCCCTTTTGTTTTGGAGGTTGTGCCCAAAAACTGGTGACCAGAGAGATGGATCCTGGCGTGGCCGTGTCGTTTTCCACAACAACTACAGTGTTATCTTTGGTCGGGGTGGGATCTGTTGCTTCTGTTGCATCAGCCTTGTCTGCTGTTTTTCCCTCATCTTTTTTGTCGGTGGGAGTTGCGTCAGTAGTTGTTGTTGTCGCATCATCCTTGCCTGTTGGTTTTTCGTCCTTTTTCTCGTCAGTAGTGGGATATGCTTCCGTAGTTGTTGTGGTATCCTCCTTGTTTGTCGTTTCGCTGTCAGTGGGAGATGCATCCGTCGCAGCTGCGGTATCATCCTTGTCTGTCGTTTCGCTGTCGGTGGGAGCTGCCTCAGTAGTTGTTGCTGTGGTATCATCCTTGTCGGGAGTTTGTTCATCGTCTTTCTTGTCCGTGGGAGTGGCATCCGTAGCAGTGGTGGTATCCTCTTTGTCGGCTGTTGCTTTGCCATTGTCCTCCACATCGGTGGGAGTGGCATCCGTTGTCTCAGTCTCCGCATCTTTCGTGTCTCCAATCTTGCTCGTTTCAGTTGGTTCATCGACCTCCTTGTCTGCTTCCGTGGGAGCTGCATCCGTTGTTTCCAGTGCATCCGTTGTTGTGTCCACGGTATCAGTTTCGGCAATCGCTTCCGTTGGTTTATCCTGATCTGCATCTGCGGGTGTTTCCTTGTTTGTTTCTTCCTCTTTCGTAACAACAACAACCTCTGGAGGGCTAGTTGTAGTTGTAGTTGTAGTAGTTTTGTCCGGACTCGTGGTGGGACTAGACGTCGGATTCTTGGTGGTTGGAGTTTGGGTAGGACTTGGAGTTTTCTTCTTCTCCGTGACAGTCACAGTGGTGGTGGTGGTATCTGTAGTATGATCATTGATATTTCCCGAGTCCTTGCTATTGCTGCTAATAGTAGTTTCAGGTGTTGTAGTTGCTGTAGTTTTGGTAGTGGTAGTGGTTGCTGTACCCAATCCTATGACGTTCTTGAGCTTATTGGAATCAAACAGACGCAATTGTTTGCGAATCATGGTACTGGTCGCAGTCGCATTGAAACTAATCGTATTGAAGGAAGTGGAATTGAGTTTGGCCACTTTGAGGACTGCTTCTACGGTCTTTTCGTACTCTCCCAGGACACACCCCAACATGACGGCAGATACCACCGTGAGACAAACGAGAAAGGCCATGGCTCTTCCTCTCCTTTTCTTCTTGGGACTAATCGGATGTTTCTTTTTATTATTAAATTGTGGAGCTTTGAAGAGCTTGCGGGGAGATGCAGGTGGATCTGGACGACTTTGATTGTTATGAGATTGTGTGGTTGGCTGGGTACTAGCACCTGAAGTACCAGTATTAGCAGCACTAGTATTATTGGTAGTGGTAGCGCGATTGGCCCGCATGCGAGCATTGCTGCCAGGAGGATCCGAACGTAGCGTCGCAGACATTCCTAGTTCATCAACCACAGGAGGCTGGCTGTAGTCGTCATCTTCTTCTCCGCCCATATTGTTTGTATAGTATACAGGTATATACCTTGCTTCTTCGCTTGGCTCTAAAAAAAGATACCTTTGTTGGTTGCAGTGGGAAATGAGGAGAGTTGGCTGGGTATCTTTGTTTTGGTGTGTTTTGTTTCGCTTGGTGACGAAAAAGCAACGGCAGAATGGAATTCAATTGGGAGAGTCATTCTCAGTCACCCAGTCGGCCACGTACTGTAACCGCATGCTCCATGCCATGACCTTCTGGGTCATCCGCGAATAAACCGAGGAACCAAGCAACATTAATATTTTTATTGGAGCCTTCCTCTCCGGTTGCAACGGAAGCAAAGGACGGCACTCAATCGGCAGCTACCGGTGCCGGTACGGTGTACGAGTAGCTTCATGGAGGGTGATACGGATGCCCCACAACAAAGAACGTAGGACGTATCCAGCTATACGGCAGCTAGCTGGCTAGCTAGCTACCGGTAGTAGATCAAACACGTTCCCTTTGTTAGTATTACTGGAGCCCCAAAGTACCTGGTATTAATAATACAGTATTACTGCAACACTATGTTTTTCGCTCCCATGCGGCTTGGCTGGTAGCACGGAGGCAGGCGCCGCCTTTTCCCCGCGTGCAATTCTTTTTCCCCTTGGTTTTTGCTTGGCCGAAAACCAACGACGAGGCAGAATTCTTGGGATCACTCTTGACGAACGATGAGCGAGGGACTGGAGAGGAGAGGCGAAGACTGAAGCCTCAACCTCGCATCGTTGCAATCCATAGCGCAGTTTTTGCTTCTCGGGAAACCCGAGGGATCCCAACGAGAGGAGCGAAGAACACAATCGAATACCGGTATGGAATGGGAATACTTTAAAAGTCGAGTCGAGTGAGCTGAGTTCGAGTGACGAGTCAAATGGAATCGAATCGAATCTTCAATCAATGACATCGAAAGAAAGCAAAAGAATAGAATGGAAGTCAATCGAAACCTCAATCGTATCGAGTCGAGTTAGTCAATCGTCGGCGAAGTCCGCAGAGACCAAACTCATCTCACACCTCACATCATCTCATTATGCATCTTCTGTTCTGTTTCATTACGGTGTTTTCTTCTTCTTCTTTGAGAATGAGCTCTTCTACCGCCGCAGCAGCAGCAGCTGTTGTCAACAACCCCGTTGTGGTAAAGATTGTGAGTGACATCGTGTGACCCTTCTGCTTCGTGGGTCTTCGGAACCTCGAAGCAGCCACCGAAATCGCGGGTGTCCCTACCAAATTCTCGTGGGAACCATTCTTGTTGAATCCCAAAATGGATCCTCAGGGAGAAAACATTAAAAGGAGCATCTCACGAAAAAGTACGGTCCAAAAGCCATGGAGAATTTTGGAGATCCCAACTCTCATTTGATGCGGGCCGGACGTCAAGTGGGAATTCACTTCAAGACGGACCGCAACGTCTATCCGACTGTTCAAGCGCATGCGTTAATGGAATATGTCAAGAATGATTTAAAGGACGTGGAAAAGTCCAACCGAATCATGGAAGAACTCTACAAGCGATACTTTGAACACGGCGAAAACATCAATTCGGTGGCCGTACTCCAGCAAATCGGTGCAACCTTTGGATTGGAACAGGACGTGGTGGAACAAGTGGCGCAAGACGACACCCGCCATCGTTCCATTCTACAAAAGGATCATTTGCATAAAGCTCGTATGCACATTCGCGGTGTTCCCTTTTACATTATTGAACAGCAGGACAACAACAGTCGGCCCGTGGGATTCTCGGGAGCACAACCACCTGCAGTCATTGCCGAGTATTTGAGAGAGGCGGCTGGGTTGGAGTAGTCTACTAGTACCGTATGGCAGGCAGGCAGCAATCCATGGTTATTTATGAAAGAAAAAAAGACAACAATCAATTTGGAAAACTCAATGAATGAATGACTGTAGCATGTCAGGGCTTTGCTTAGCTTGACTGAGCGGACATTTTGATTTGCCACACGAAAATTCAAGTTCTCTACTAGTAGAAACGTTGTAATGAACCAGTAATGACAAATGGTACTAATAACTTGTCAGAGCTCGCAAAGCACTACCACTTCCCTACTGTAACCCTCCCCACTGCCAACTACCAGCTACCGTAGCTGGGAATACTAATAGCGCCGTGCAGCTTCTTCCACCCGCTTATTCCTTCGGCCTCTTGGAAAGGCTGAAAGAGATAAACTCCTTCTTCTCCAGTTTTCCTTCAAATTCCCGCAAAAGCCCCCCCTCCCAGCACATCTACTGCAAAGGTAAAGCCATCGTGATGTACGGTGGTACCGGTATTGCCCGTGTCATCATGAAGATACTAGACTAGCTAGTAGACTGAATCTGGCTTTCCTGATGCAAAAGAACAACACCAGGGATTCCAACGTGGTCCCCCACCGTAGTACTAACCTGGCCCGACGATGCTTAACTTCGCTGAGCAGACGGGAAGCGGTGCTGTCATCGTGGTATGGTCGTTCCTGATGGTGATCTAAGTTTGTAGCATTATGTATAATCATTAAGGTTGATGTATGCGTGGACCTGGTCATCCATTCCTTGGCGCAGGAAGACGACAGATACGCTTACAATAGCTACAGCTCTACTAGTGTTTTACAACTACATACATGTCAGTATCGGCTCCTTTGGAACGCACAGTACTGAAAAATGTTCCAAGCTAGCAGGAGCTCGAGGTAGCTAGGTACGGCATCGTGCAAGTGTGTCGCCAACCTCCCACCACTGTCGTATTACTTGGCACACTGTCGCCGTGTCGTGACAAACTCATCGAATCGTTCCCACGTGGTTCGATTGCCCCAACACTGCGCTTTGAAGCGTGGCCCCAGATACGACTTTTTGGGCATTCCAATATCTCCTTGGAATGCATTTTCAAAGGGATACCGTGCAAAGTGATAGGGCGGTGGGACCATATCGAATCGATAGTGTTTCCGTTGATGAAAACTCCAATCCCAAAAGAAGGGTTTGTTTTGGGATGCCAGAGCGTGCATCTGTGTTGGTGTTGTGTTGCAAGTAAGTAAGTAAGTAAGTGCAGGGTTAGATGATGATAATGATGACAAGTTGGCGGTAGGACGGTATGCATAGGTATCTTTAGAACTCACCTTTTCGGTTCCATGAAAATGCCATGTTTTGATAAAGCTACAGGCACTGGCATCATAGGCATTAGGTACGGCCTGTAGTAGTGCCCATAACGCCGTGTATTCTGCGGCATCTTCGTTCATGTGAAAGAGCGCCATGGCGGGGAGTTGATTATTGAGATCCGTATCACTACTGATAGTGTCATCGTCTCCCTCTTCATCCACCACGATTGGAGTGAATTGTTGATCGGGTTTAAATTTGGGAATATCGTCTTGGCGCGTGGGATGGACAATGCGATGGCGATGACTACTACTCTGTGGTTGTTGTTGCTGGCGGGCAGCCTGTGGCAAAATGACGCGGGCAAAGTGATGCGGCGACAATTTTCCTTCGAGCAATTTGCGATGAAAGGCATATCCATCCCAGGAATCCACGGGGAACACACATCGACTGTGGACCCATTTGGATTTTTTCTCGAGCCATTCGTAGGAATGATCGAATCCGTAATGTTGACTGATCGATGCGGGTGCCAACGAGAGATTGAATCCGTGGGTCGATAACGTAACGAGTGCATTGTCGTCGAGTTGTTGGGCCCATTTGGCAGTATCGTCAAACGCTTGATCGGCATTGGCGACAATAACGACATCGCTGGTGACAATGGCGGGATTGGTGGCATAGTGAAACATTTCATAATACGAGGGTTGTCCCTGTATTCGATGGACACAATGGAGTTTGGAAGGCTCATAGATATCGGGTGGTCGTTGGAGTGGATCCCAGTAGTGATGGCCCCGTCCCCAACGAATATAGCGTTCTTGCAAATGTGCCATTTTGAGTTGAAAATGCGTGCAATTGGACTGTTGGGTAGCGGAATCGAGAATCACGACCACTTGTTGAAAATGTGGATTGTGTAGATTGTTCAAAATGGCAATTTCAATTTCGGCAATGTGACTGTGATGTTGTTGTTTGTCGCCGGGAGTGGCAAAGAAACTCGTTACCAAAGAAACCGTGTGTTTCTTATTTAAAAAAATAGTCTTGTTGTTATCAGTAGTAGTACTAGTATTGGTAGCAGAACTGGTAGCAGCAGCACTGGTAGTAGCAGGTTTGTCTTTCTGTATTCTGAGTTTGGCAACTTGCTGCATGTGAATACTAGCACTAGCACTAGCACTAGCACTAGCACTAGCATTGGTACTAGTAGCACTGGCAGTGGGCTCTGCTTTTGGTTGTTCTTGTATTTCTTGATGTTCTTGAAACTTTAGATAATTGAGTTTTGCAATTTTCTGAATTCTTTCAATTCGTTCCATTTGCTCCACTTGACTTGGAACCAATACGTAGTCTTGCTGCTTGGTGCGTCTGTTGTTGTTACTACTGGTACTAAATGTTGTGACCTGTTGCTTGGCTCTTACAATCTCGGAAATCACAGATCCGATTCCCATTAAGATCAGACCTTGCAGCACGCTCTTCCACACATGCTTCTTCTTGCTTGTTGTACATGTACTACCAGTACTATTAATAGTAGAACTAGAGGGAGAGGATAGAGACATCGTCAGCTTCGTCTACACGTAGTTGTCATTGGGCTGAGGTAGGGTATTATTATGGTCCGATAGAGAGAGCCATGATTGTTACCTTGTGCTGCTTGGCAACCGGAACCGCCAACTGCGAAAGATCCAGCAAAAGGTTTATCGAGCGGAAGAGCCAGCGGAAGTATTATAATAATGCAGTCTTTTTACAAGATCAACCCAAGAACGAAAAAAGACACACACACCTACCGTACGGTACTAATACTTATGCGAAATATTGTGCAAGAAGGGTCAGGGGTACCCTTTCCATCAACCATCAACTAACCTTTTGTTTCATCAACCATCATTCTGGGATGCTTCTATGCTTAGCTAGCTAGGTACTAGCTAGCTCCACCGGTAGCTTAGTTGTGTACCGGTTGACTGGCTTGGCCTCCTCCATTTCCTGGAAATGTAGCTTTGGTGATGGAAGGATGAAAGCTGAAAGCACCTATCTTTGTACTATCTAGTGTAGGCCTCGCAACAATCTTATGCATGCAAAGGTATGGATCTATCTAGCTCATGCATTGCCCCCCAGAACCAGAGCTTCACAGACTGTCTGCAGTCTGCCTGCATGCATGCATGTAGTGCTGTTGTTCGCCTGAACTGAATTGAATTGCAGCACTCATGCAAAATACGTCTTGCTGGTGGATTCCTCATCATCACCAGTGCCACCTCCTCCTTTGGTAGCAGCAGCAGCTTGATCTTGTTCCATCAGCTGCTTCTTGAACCCTGCTACAATCTCCTTGCCACGGAGACTCCATTCGTCTCGGTTCTCCACGGCATAGTTGTAGTATTCATCGCCACTCACACCAAATACACCGCATTCCTTGAGCTTCTTTGCTAGTGGGATGATGTAGTTGTCAAAAAAGCCAAGCTCCCCTTCGTACCAGAAACTCAATGGATCGCGCTCCATACGACCGGCCTTGTAGGCAGCATGCATCTCCACCAACAGCTTTCGGTTCCACTTTTGATAGACATGCCAATGCTGCATCTGTGCGTGTAATAATATAATATAGTTGCGGTACAAAAATGAATGAATAGAGTGCATCAAGTCATGCAATGAATGAGTGAGGAAACTGCCATCCATCTACCTGAAAACCAACCAGCCAGGCAGTCTTCCAGCCAGCCACTTACTGTGTGTGCGACATCGGATGCTTGAATAATGTGTTCCAGGACAATGGTGGCACGAACGTCACTGGTGCGGATGGATCCCATCATAATGGAGGAGACGGCACGACGACCCTCTGGTAGGTCCACCACGATGTCCTCAACCGAAGAGGGGAAGGCCTTCTTCCAGCGAGCTTGTCTAAGGTCATTGAGTTCCCGATCAAAAATGTCGGTTGCTTTGGATCATTTTCACACAAAGTTTTTATAAAAAAGAAGCTTACGTGAGCAAATAAATGGCAAAAGCAGACCGAGTTGCAGGCAGATCTGCTTCTCTCGCTCACGTACCCAGCACAACATTGACCACGAGCTGCCGGAAACGTAGCAACTCGGACTCTGTGCCAAACATGTAGCGACGAAGGCCTCTGAAACGAATTTGCATCAGGACTTGCCATGCAAGATCCAAGGAATTCTAATAAGGATATCGTAGAGAGAAAGGGTGTGAGTGTCTATAGAATTGAATCACAGCGAGCAGATCAACGGGGCAGCTCCATTCCCGCCATGGCCACCGTACCTGTTCCGCGATGCTCTTGTGGTTGTACCGTCCTGCCATGGCGGGTTCTTCAATCGCCATCTGGCCATTGGACACCCCTCGATGGTTGACGTCGTGAATCAAGGAAGACCAAGCCATGGCAAAGTGAGTCAGGGGGTCCGAATAGATCCCGTGTGTATAGTCGTGAAGCTGGAGGGCCAAATCGGCCTGGTCCTTGACCTTGTCCGGAGAGATATCGGGGGCATTGACTCGATTTAGAAGCTTGACAACAGACATGGTGACATCTGTTGAGCAAAAGGTGGAGCGGGGTGACAAAGTGAGACATCATTGGAGCCCTTGCGCAGCTTGTCATTTGTACAGGAGCGAGCTTGACACTTACGACAGGCATGCTGCAGTGGTTGGGCACGAGAATTGACGGAAGCAATAGACAGCATTCGTGTAAGTTCAGCTAAAGACCCGACAAGTGTGCATTTCAAAGTTCCTTCTTTCTTTACCTCAAAGTTGTGGAAGCTGTTGGTTGCCTCGTACAGCGAGGCAATCTCCGCTGCCAAGGCCTTTACAAGTTCCTTGTGCTCAGCAGTCATCTCTACATGCGCAGCTTCAGTGGCACATTCTCGACCCACAGCACAGTGCTTGAAAGTTGGCATTTCAATAGCCTCCAATACTTCATCCATGCAATTTCGTCCACTGGGCAACTGATAGATGAAATCTCCATGGGGGTCATCCTTGATTCCGCACTTGCGGCGATGATGGACCTTTTTGAAAAGAAAAAATGCCGGGTTGGTCAGGCTACGCAGGCACACTCCTTGCCAAGAAGTCTGCACCAAGCACACGTACCATTCTTTGGATATTGGCCACCAAGAGCTCTGAAATCCAATTGATGAGCCTGACATTTTCAGATCCCAAGGTTGTCTGGGGGCAGTGTAGTTTGGAGCAGTCTGATGAGCATGAGGATCCTTGAGGAGTTGTGGCAACGAAGTAAGTTTGGATCTGGCCTTTGCCTTTGGCATACACCAATTCAGGGCGACGCTCAAGCCAGCCCTCCTTCCCAGCTGCTCTGAGGAGGGTGGCTGTTGCTTCCGACACCTGCATCCGCCCTGGACATCCTGTACTTTCCATGCGACTGGCAGTGTTGACTGAAGATGGAGCAGCGGTACAATGATGTGAGATATGCACTTCCGTTTGGTAAACGCAAACACAGATCTAAACCCATGCTGTAAGCAAACCCATACCAGTATCACCAAAGAGCTACAGAGCAGACACGAGCATCAGTCAGTGATCCTGCGTTGCGGATGCGTTCAGCCAAGCACATGGAAAGCCGGTGGATACATACCTGGAAACGAGCTCTCTCGGCTTTGATTACTCCAGCCTTTGGTTAGAAAGAACGATACGTGAGGTCACATTCCACACGCGAGCACAATTTGTTTCCACATCATCCCTCCTTGCACTCACCGTCACTGGACCAGAGTGTGCTCCCATTCTCATGGTGAGCTTTGATGTACCGGGCCCCAGGCTACACTCCAAGTTTTGGGTAACACTATGCATTTGCTCCAAGCACTCCATAGCAAACCTTATCATCACGATAGCGTGGTACTTTTGAGGCTCAGGCAGCCCTGTGAGATCCATGAGAAGCACTACTGTGTCAGCGGCATGCAGCAATCATGATGCCGTAGTGATGTCCTCGATTTACCTGTAACCGCAACATAGCTATCCCCTGCACTCGAGAAGATGGTGAGGGGTTTCACGACAGCATTGGCCTTCGTTTGTAGTCTTGCCGTGCTGACTTACCTATAGTCTCCACCTTAATGATGAATCGCGAAAAAGTGGTGGTATGATGAGTTTGGAGAACAGAAACAGCCTTTGTTTGCAATCTTGCAACGCTGACATACCTTGAACACACGTCTTCGACGCGCAATCTCATCAAATGCTATAGCCGTCAATTCACAATCAAATTGAGGCCATGGCGAGTGAGGCACAAAACCTTGCGCACCAACAGGAAGCAGATGCCATCCAACCGTACATACCTTGGTAAAGAGCTTGCAGGAGAACAAATACCTGACAAGGCTCTCGCGCTGACGACCAAGCCGTGAAACCCACAATGTCGGCGAAGAACACAGTGCATTCGGGGAAGAGTTCGGCAATAGGCTCGTCATGGCTGTCTTTGGAAGTATTCAAGTCGTGGGTCGCATCTCGTTTGAGAATATTGGTCAGCCGATTCTTGATGCCCAGCCCAAGGTGCTGGTCCTTTGAAGTGTTTTCTGCCTCCATCAGTTGATCTCTCACTTTCTGTGTTGGCCACGTACAGAGAGCAGAAACATATGAGAAAATGAAATCAATCTTCACCATTGCGGGGAACAAATGATCACAAAATACAGGTACGTACCTTGGGAAAGAGCGACGAGACAATGGCTGTAGACTTGGTAGCCTTGTCCAGCACAATCCTTTGTCTCTTTTCGACGAGGAAGTCATAGAAAAGGAACATAAAGATGACCACAATGTACAGAACGGCGATTGCCAGAGTAAAGTTCAGTGGTCCGGAAGTGATAAGATCATTGTAGAATTCCTGGGTGGGGTAGACTCGAATCTGGTGATCGCACAACGAGTTGTTGAGAAAGACGCCATGGAGGGTACCATCTTTGACCACTTCCGATCCAAAGTATCCCACTCGTTTGTGCGACTCGAATTGCGATTCGTGGTGGTCTCCAATCCCCACGACGTGAGTCTCTTCACCCTGTACAATGTAAGTGAACTGGCGCGGACTAGCAGGTCCTTGACACGAGTTTTCAAGGACAACATAGAGACTGCAGTTACTGATGGAAGGAAGTATGTTCTGGAGGTAGGATGCCCAATGGATGTAGACTGACATCATGGCCACGACTCTGCGACTACTCATTTGAAAGCTGTCAAAGATGGGGAAGTGCACTGGTGATAAGGGATCGCCCTCGTAGGATACTTGAACAGAGATGACACGCAATACGGAGACAAAGTTGGATTGCAACCGCATTGGTGAGGCAGGGAAGCCATCAGCATCCAGCAGACATCCATTGATCAACTCCAGTTCTTACCTTCTTTCATTTGTTTGGCACTCATGAGAAAGGCCAAGAGCGACGTCACTGGATGTGGATTCGATATGGTACCTGGTTTGCCGACCAGAAAGGAGCCGACAAAGGCCGTCTTGTGCTGCAAAATCCAAAAGGACGCGTCACGAAGTTGGGGTTGGCGTAGTGAGTTGACGTTGACACGGTTGCCATTGTGTGCCAAGGGACTGCCTTGCCACTGGGGAAGATAGTAGCTCTCTGAGAGGCCATCTTCTGGGACGGGCATACTTGATGCATTAAAGTAGCGCATGACATCAACCGTTCGATTGGAAACGATTCTTCGTTGCTGATCGTACGTATCATCTCCAAACTGATTAATGCCCAATGCGTCCTGGTAGTCAGAGATCTCCTTGCTACCGGTAAAAGAGAGGATAGAGGCGTGGTGTCGCTGAGTTAGTGACAAGGGTACGGTACGGTATGGTCATGCTGATTGGTGTCGGGCTGTATGGTACCGGTATACTTACATCCATGCATTATTGTGTGGGTCGTTGACAAACTCATCCCACTTTTGGAATTGATGGGCATGTACTACAGGATTAATGGTAACCGCGAGTGCACCAGAAAGATCTTTTGCATTCTGCGCGCGTAAGTGAAAGTGTGGTAGCGAGACGAAGGGGAAAGGAGTGCCCTCCTCGACACTTTGCGAGGTGAGCTGCACTCCCAGACCACCAATGGCGCCCATCTTGTGAACAATGCCTTCGTAGCTTTCAATGATCTTGGAGGTTGCGGCCTCGTACTGGTTTGCAAACTCGGCCGATTCGCGACTCTTTTGGACTGCGTAGACGATCCAGCAAACCACAACCGCCTTGGCAATCAGCATCAGAATCACAACATGCCGAAGTCGAGACACATTCCTCGTTTCGTTTCTGGTAATCTCGTTCGTATGATGGGTAGTGGGAACTGATGTCGAAGTTTCCCCGTTGCTGCTTTGCTCGACGTCGTCATTGTCATTCCCGCTGACCCTCGACGAGGAGTAGCTCGACGAGCTCCCGTCGTTGATTTGGGCATCTTCGTTCTCGACGGTAGCCGGCGTCATGATTGTCTTTTGGTTCTTCGAATGGGATCAAGAGAGTATCAAGAGCAAAAAATAAGCAAAAACGGCAAGCTAGCGTGATCAAAGCAGTCTCCTGCGCCTTACTTGATCATCTCCAGTGAAGTGATGCCGACATGCCGATACATGTACTAGTACCGTCATAGAATTGCGTACCAGTAGAACATGGGGAAAATGTGGTTGTTTTGTGAATGCCTGAATTACCAGGGAAACTCGGGAAACCTCCTTCAATCAGCATTGATACAAGAGACATCGCTACCAGCTACAACATTTCTGCAACTCCCGGAAAATCTGATTGAGCTGGCGGAAGCCTCTCGCCAACTCTTCCGTCTCTCGAGTATCACTCGGTAACTCGGCAAGAATGTAGAGTGTGAGGTACGTACCGTACTACTAGTAGTAGCTACTAGTAGCTGAAGAGGGATGACCTGGAGACTCGAGGCTTGCGAGCCTTGATAAGCACACAAGGGTCACTGTAGATACTTCTCGGCTATTGGCTATTGAATACCATACCGGTACTCGAGTAGCTGGCTACTAGCTCTAGGGGGTGCAAAGTACACCAGAGTCGAGTCGAGTCGACCAGTATTAGTACCGTACCACCTACATGTGGGTATGTGGGTGAGTCGAATACTCTTCCGCTAATTTTGCTCCCTTGTCCTTCCTGGTTTTCCTCCATGCACCCCCCTTCCCTGCCCCCCTTGTTTTGCCCTGCTCGCGTCCTCATTGCTCTCCCCGTATGCCCACCACACCAGCCACCCACCACCGCAGCCACTGCTTTGCCTAGCCTCGCCCCCCTCGCTCCTTACCGTATCTATTTAGTATTTATTTATTTCCTTATACAAGCGACCCCAACCACACAAGTCTCGTGTTGTCATCCGGGTCTATTTGGATCTGGACAAAACAAATAATTCAAACCAGGCGGGGAAAAAGAAGAGATTGTACATGTACCTCAAAGCAACCTGCCGGAGTTGTTTGGGAAACAATAATGACAATCCTCAAAATGCTCTCAAGTTGCACGAGGAGCACGAAGATGCTAACAATACCGTCTTGTTCTCGACCGCTACCATTACAATGGTACAGATAGTCTCAAAGCCACCTTCGGCAAATGATTCCAAAGCAGCAACACCGCCAGATAAAAAGGGTTTTACAATGGAAGGAACACTGTAGAAGAGGGAATGTCCTGATCATGATAATAGCTTGGTGCTTGGTTTTAACGCAGACGACTCGACTCGTCTCTTAGCTAGCTGGCTATCTAGTCTACATAAGAGTAGCCAGCTTAATTCAAGATAGATTCCAGGAAATGTACCGAAGACAAAGACTTACTTGGTGTCAACAAAAATCCGTGGGCGACAACCCAAGATTCCAGCTCTCTTGGCCCTTCTTGCAGCTTCAGGAGGACAGAGAACAGAGCTGCTGTAGATGGTGCCTCTGGCCTCTGCCCTTCTCTCTTTTGTTGTCATTAGCCAACCAGCTGACACTTCTCGTGCTATCTTAAAATACCATAAGCTGTCTTGTGCAATCCAGAACTGCCGCAGTAGCTCAAGAGGGAGCTTGCATGCTTTGCTTCCCGCTTAGTCCACCACTGCATGTTCAGATGGCTAGCTAGCCAGTGGAAGCTGCGGATGGGTGCATTCTTTCATCAAGCTCGTCCTCCAAAAGGCTTCCCCCAGCGGGGAACATACATGTACTTGTACTAGATCTTGCACCACTCTTTGGAACTGCATAGATGCTTGTGACAGATAGACAAAATGCCTTTCCACAAAGGGCGCAATCAAGGGCGCTCTTGAGTTTATCATCTCCTCCACCACCCCCCCCCTGGCCCCTTTGGGATTCTTGTGGTCCTTGTCTGTTGGCCTTGAGATCCTTGATGGCCTGATCGCTCCTGGTTGTGCTTGCAGCCACTCCTGCCTGCGCTTCCGCGTACCCCTGGCATCCACTCTCACCCATAATCCACTCTACCCCATAGTAACCTCTCGTACGCTCTCAAACAATCCATATCGATAGTGTTCATGATGATGGTGGTCTGCTATAAGACTTGCGCAAACGATCCACCGCCTCGAACATGTCAAAGCCACCAGCCAAGAACAACAACAGCACCAGCCAGACCAAGATAGATTCAAGCTCTATTGGAGAAAGACTGAGGAATGAGAGGAGGAACTTCTCTTGCTCACATGGATGTATTCTGTATTCTATTTCTCTAGCTGCAAAAGCGTATTAGCTCTAGCAAGTTTTTGTTGTTTTGTGTCTTTTTGAAGATTGCCTCCACAACTGCGTTCCTCCACAATTGCGTTCCGGGCCACCATGACGAGAGCTCGAGAGAAAATGAGAAGCCGGCGTTTTAGTGTTGTATCATGTTCTGGCCTGTCTACCAGGAACGCCACGAACAGAAAGGTCTGGTCTTGTTCTTTCCCCCGTCATTGCCAGCACTCCCAACCAGCCTTGACGTCGAGTCAGCCGAAGAGAGAAAGGTGGAGGACGAATCACCAATCATGAGCTGAGAGGAACTCAAAGTGACTTGTGTCACTGTATTGAGCGCCTCGACAGCTCGGATGCTTCCAATGGCCACCTGGCCGGCCACTCCAATACTCCCAATCCCGATAGCGCCAATCAACAGAGGAGTGGCCACGGTTCCAATAATGCCCACGGCAACGGCTCCGCCCACACCCTGGAGTTTTTCTTTGCTCACTTGACGAGGAGTCTTGGGCTCGAGTCTCCAGCGAGTATTTCCATGTACAATCGTTCCTGGTTCAACCGTGCTGACGGGGCCCTTGTCGGGTGCCACCAATACGCGTTTAGTTTGGTACGCTCGAACGACAATGCCGTCTTCTCGTTCTTCCATGACCCAATGGTCGGATCCGTCTCGTTCTGAGGGTTCATTGTGCGGACGCAAGGATACCTCTCCGTCTTGATTGGACACCAAGTATTGTTGTCGCGCATTGGAATACAAGCGAACAGCTCCCTTGGGACTACCAGGAACCGGTTCAATCTTCCATTCTTCTGTGATCAGGCGTCCAGGATATCCTCGGGTCGTTATACCTCTTTTCGCTCCTTCCAGCCGTCGTGCATTGTCGGCGGTGACTAGGTAGTAGGTTTGTCGATGCAAGGATTCCAAATCCCAGACACAAGATTCATCCAACAAGAGAGCTGTATCTGGAATGGTACAGAAACATTGCTGGTGGCAGTCGTATCGAAGAACTCTGCTACCGGCAGTGGCAGTTGACGTTGAGGAGGTTGGAACCACAGCCTTGATAACAACCCCGTACAATCCATTTGGCGCCTTTTGGACATTCCAAATAGTGGATGATCCTTGAATCGCACTCTCTTCCTTGGTACAACAACTCACCACTCCATCCTCATTGCTAGCCAAGAATAGTTCGGAATGAGCCCACGGGGAGATGCGAACGTTGTCGTGCTGCCCCGTTTCGGAGAACCTCCAAGCCTCCCATCCTTGAAAATTGGTGCTCAAGGAAAGCTCCCCAATGAGGTTGCATCGGACTTGCTTGTTCATCAATGGCAAAGACATGAAACAGAGCTCTCCAGAAGTGAATTCGAGGGACCACGAGATCGTTTGTCGTCGTTTGGGGTTGCAGATGTTGATGTCTTCCGGTAACGCCGCGTGAATGGTGTTTCCCGAGCAAGTCAGCACTCGTTGACTGACGGACGAAGAGAGAACCGCGTAGGACCGTTCCTTACTCGTATCATTATTCGTGGTCATGATCCACTGTTCCATACCATCACACCCCGTTTCCGAAGCGTACACGGATCCCTTGGTGGAAGAGCATAGGTATTGTTGCGTCTTGGTATTGCGCAGGAGCACTGACCCGTCAGCTTGGGGGAGAATCGCAAACTCGTCGTTACTACTACTGCTAGAACTACTAGTAGCGAGAGAGTCTTGCAGAAAGACGGCACTTTTTCCATTGCAAGCCAAGTGTTTCGTCGTGCCTTGACATCGCAACGAACATCGTACGGGGTTTTCGACGTACGAAAAGTCAGTCAGCAGGCGTGGTTGCAGGACGCACTCCAACGACGGCTCTTCCTCCGTTACACAACCACTCGTATCATTGCAATCGTTTTCTTGTAGTCCCGCAGCGTTTTTGCCTGGATTGGTCTCGTAGATGACAGTAGTGTCGAGAAAGGCCCCTACATGTAGAAGCGCCTTATTCTTCTTGTTGGCATCAGGGGCCATGGTGGGAACGTTTTTAACTACCTACCAGTGCACAACAGTGCTGACAAGGACCAGCCAGCAGAAACGGCTACGGGTACAAGGACGATCCGAAAGAGTGAGCTCCTGTGGAGGGAAAAGAACGAGTGCTAAACGATGGGTGGGTCTTGTCGGCGGTAACTCTTGTGGAGACAACGGTTTTTGGGTCCCTTACAAAGACGGCTAAAGTTTTAGCATGGTGGGAGTCGCATTCACGTTGTACTCATGACTGTAGCCAGCGCGACCTGCACTGTTGCGGTTACTCGCTTTGTTGTGCTGGTACAGTTGTACCGGTACCAGGTACGGCAATACAAGGAAGTTGTCTATTGGCCCTGCTACCCGTAGTGAGGAAGATAGTGTTATCTGTTACTAGTAGGCAATCTTTTAGTCTGTTGCCCTCAGGGACCAGGTGATTTGAAAGAAGAGGGGGAAAGTGTCCAGTTTGATCCATCAGGACTGCGCACTTTGAAGAACGGAGAAATAGAAGCTCCGAGCCCTGAGCCCCGAGCCCCGAAAAGAGCTTGTTCAGCCACTGGAACAGCACCAAGAGACCGGGCCACTGCCGGTGTTGTTTCGTCGAAGATCACCATGTGCGATACATGTAATAACTGCTCTTACGGTAGGGTTAAAAAAGAGCGAAAGGGTGCGTTGTTTGCAAAACCGGGGGCAATCGAATACCAGTGGAATTATTCAATTAACCAGGCACTTGAGTAGTGGAATGATGATTCGTTGGTAAATTTTGTGCTCCCCGAAAACAAACAAGAAAACAGGCATCCAGTCTCACTGCACCTTGTGGCATACAACATGCTGCCTGTTCGATGAGGCTGCGCCAGTCAGTTGGCAACTTGCAGATGCATAGATGCATTCTTCTTAACTGGTCCGGGTCACTCTCGCAACAGCGACACGTGAGACAAGTAATTCTTTTGGTACGGTAACTTTAGCGGTACCGTACCGTAGTAACCAATGCAATGTAGCTCCATGAGCAAGTTTGCTCATCCCCGTACACGTAACTGGC